TGAGTATATCTGGATAAGTAGCGCTATATAAATGATTAATTTAATTTAATTAATAATTTAATGTGCACCATGTGGCATAGGAAGGGGTATCCTGCCCGGGCGATGTACTTACAACTCAATGATGGCTTTTCTGTATTACACGAAAACGTATGTCAATTGTCGACATTATTTCGCTGTGACAAGTCAGTACAGTGAACATGGGTTTGTGACCATTGGATAATGGACAAACTTAAGGAATGTTCATTGATCCAGTAGTTGCAGAAAAAAGCTTATACTTGTAAGACATCATTTAATGTCCACAACCATTCCCGGAGACCGATAGAACTAATATTGTTTTATTCATTTGTATTTGTTTTTGTTTTTGTGTTGTTGTTTGTTTTGTTTTGGGTTTTTTGTTTTGTTTTGTTTTGGTTTTTTGGTTTTGTTTTGTTTTGTTTTGTTTGTTTTTTTGTTTTATTTTGTTGTTTTTTTTGTTTTTTTTTGTTGAGTTTGTTTTTGTTTTTTGTTGTTGTTGTGGGGTTTTGGGGGGTGGGTTGGGGGGGGGGGGATGTGCAGCGCTATGGGGTTCAGAATGGGGTTAATCATGACGCTAAGGAGAACTTGTTTCTTAAATTGAAAAGTTTTTGTCTATCACAGTAATCGAGCTGTGTCGAAAATACTGATAATAATTGTCTTCTATCACATTGGAACGACTTTGACCATCGTTGCTCACATTGCATTCATAATTATCCGTGGTGTTTGCTTGTGAAAGGAGTTTTGACGATATTTGAAAACTACACGCACACTAAAAACATTCTTGGTAAATCTTGATATACACTAGTACTGTAAAATTAAATGGGTACTGCTTGCAGTGTGAATCTTGCCGTCTGACCTTCCAATGTCATGAGGCCCGGTCTGGAGAAGTTCTTTGTGTCACAGGTAAGTGATTATGTCCATCTGGACTAACGTACGTCGGGGATGGGGTAGAGGAACCTATAATTGATCTGCGATCAACAGACGCCTGTACCTGTTGGGTTGAGGGTCGGGGGTCGTTCCAGTGTTCACAAGTAGACTTACTCTGTCTTTATTGTTTGCGTCACGGCGTTGATCATGAATGCTTACTGCGATTCTTTAATGAAGTGTTCCTCTGTTTTATATCTATAAACACCAGTAATACAAACAACAGTTGTTCTAGTTTGTTGTGAGTGAGTGAGTGAGTTGGGTTTAATGCCGCTTTTAACAGTATTCCACTTATATCGCGGCGTGTCAGCTTAATGTGGAAGGAAAGCCCGATGTGATGAAGACGTTTACCATTTCTGTGAAACCCACGAGCACGGGTATGGTGCTGACAAACCTAGAAACAAAATCGGGGCGAACCGGGATTCGAACCCACAATCATAGGTTTCTGGCGTGCCGAAGGGACGCAACTCTGCACAGCGAATCGCCTAAGACGACTGGGCCACTAGTTTGTACTAATTTAGGATGATATAGTCAGGGTCAGGGGTTAGGGGTGCAACCAGGGTTGGTGTTGGAGGCTGTAGTCAAGGTCAGTGTCAGGGTCAAGGTTGGGGTTGGAGTCAGGGTTAGTGACAGGGGGTCAAGGTTGGGATTGAGGGTGAGTCAGGGTTAGTGTCAGAAGGTCATGGTCAAGGTAGGGGCGTTGGAGTGGGTATTTAGGACATAACATTGTGTAGTTGTGTTTACAATTTTCAGTTAAAACATTGTGTTACAGCAAATTCTACTACTCTTCCAGCGACTACACAGCAGCCGACTACCCCAACACCGACAACTCCAACACCAACTACTCCACAGCCGACTACCCCAACACCGACAACCCCAACACCGACTACCCCAACACCGACAACCCTAACACCGACAACCCCTACACCGACTACCCCAACACCGACTACTGCAGAACCGACTACCCCAACACCGACAACCCCAACACCGACTACTCCAACACCGACAACCCCAACACCGACTACCCCAACACCGACTACCCCAACACCTACTACCCCAACACCGACTACCCCAACACCGACTACTGCAGAACCGACTACCCCAACACTGACTACTCCACAACCTACTACCCCAACACTGACTACTCCACAACCTACTACCCCAACACCGACAACTCCACAACCAACTACCCCAACACCGACAACCCCAACACCGACTACTGCAGAACCGACTACCCTAACACCGACAACTCCACAGCCGACTACCCCAACACCGACAACCCCAACACCGACTACTCCAACACCGACAACCCCAACACCGACTCCTCCACAGCCGACAACCCCAACCCCGATTACTGCAGAACCAACTACCCCAACCCCGACTACCCCAGAGCTGACTACCCCAACACCGTCTACCCCAACACCGACTACTGCAGAACCAACTACCCCAACACCGACTACCCCAACACTGACTACCCCAACACCGACTACCCCAACACCGACTACTCCACAGCTGACAACCCCAACACTGACTACCCCAACACCGACTACTCCACAACCGACTACCCCCACACCAACAACTCCACAACCAACTACCCCAACACCGACTACTGCAGAACCGACTACCCCAACACCGACAACTCCACAGCCGACTACCCCAACACCGACAACCCCAACACCGACAACCCCAACACCGACTACTCCACAGCCGACAACCCCAACACCGACTACTGCAGAACCGACTACCCCAACACCGACTACTGCAGAACCGACTACAAGACAATGTAAGTCCCGAAAGCCTGATGCTGCCCTCCTCATAGCAAGCAAGAAGGGTAACCTCGCCCGGGTTCAAAGCATCTTGAAACATTGTCACGTGCACATCAACAAGCGAGGGAAAAAGGGGAACACGGCAGCAATATTAGCAGCACAGAACAAACATACAAATGTGTTGAAGTGCCTGGTCAGACACGGAGCACGTGTGAGGACAGTGGATAAGAAGGGTTACAGCATGCTTCACTGGTCCTGTTTCCATGGGTTACTGTCAATGACACGGTTCATCCTATCGCTTGTCCATGTGGAGATTAACGGTAGAGAGATTGAGCTGGGGAGGACACCAGTGATGCTGGCAGCATTACACCATCATACAAAAGTAGTGGAGATGGTTGTGAATAAAGGAGCAGATATGTCTCTGGTGGATAACAATGGTAACACGGTCCTCCATTGTGCAACGGCTGGAGGGGATTTGGAGACGGTGCAGTATGTGGCCTCAAAGATGAAAGATCTGAACGTCAAGAACAACAAAAAGCAAACGGCAACCAAGTTGGCACAACAAATGAAATACAATACAATCTTCACGGATCTTGTAAGAAAAGGGGGCCACACGTGTTAAGTGAGCTGAAGTGAAATAGGGTTTTACTTCGCATCCATGATTATTGCTCTCATATACTGCTCTCATACTGCTGATACTGGTCCGGGCTGGTGCCGATTTTATAGTGCTAACCCACTAGGATACCATGCCACAGTTTAACATGAATACCCCACTCAGACACAGTGACTCCGAGCCGACCAGTCATTGTTTTAGGCCCTTGGTGACAGGGTAACAAGTACCATCTTTTAATGTATTTTGGTATAATACGGCCGGGGATCGAACCGCGGACCTTTCGCCCTCGAGGCGGGCGCTCTGCCGCGAGACCATTTAGTTGGCCACACGTGTTGACGGTTGTGTTTGGTCCAAACATTGAATAAAAACAATCAACACTGACGATGTGATGTAACCATAGTTTCGTCTATATAATTTGTATTTCTGTAATGAACGTCTTTGTTTTGTGATAAAATTTGATGATACATTTTTCGTCAAATATGTTTTATCGCGCTGTTTAACGCCGCAGCCAACAATATTTCAGTAACTTGTTAATTACAAGCTCATATCCACATTAAACACATCTGTTACATCTGTGGTATATACGCCAACCCTTCTAAACAATGTCTGTTTGTATTGACTGACTGTCTATCTGTGGTATTTACCCAACAACTGACTGTCATAGTCACTGCGGGTATGTACCTCACAACTGACTGTCATAGTCACTGATCGTGGTATGTGTCCCCAAGAGGGATTGCCATTGCCAACAACACGCACACAACACGTGCTGCAAGCTCACATCCTGGCCTTTATTCATCACACAACACACATAGACACACAGCACACACAGACGAACACACACAGACATGTGAAACATGCACAGACACACACACAGACACGTGAAACACGCACAGACACACACAACACGCACACACACAACACGTGCTGCAAGCTCACATCCTGGCCTTGATTCACCACACAACACACACAGACATACACAACACGTGGTGCTGCAAGCTCACATCCAAGCCTTGATTCACCACACAACACACACAGACACACACAACACAGACACACAGCACGTGGTGCAAGCTCACATCCTGGCCTTGATTTACCACACAACACACAGACACACATAGAGACACACACAACACAGACACACAACGCGTGCTGCAAGCTCACATCTTGGCCTTGATTTACCATACAACACACAGACACACATAGAGACACACACAACACAGACACACAACACATGCTGCAAGCTCACATCTTGGCCTTGATTTACCACACAACACACATAGAGAGACACACACCACACACAGACACTCACAACACACATAGAGACACACACACAGCACGTGGTGGTGGAGGCTCACCTCTCGGCCTTGATTCATCACACAACACACATCGACACCCAGCACACACAGACATGTGAAACACGCACAGACACACACACAGACACGTGAAACACGCACAGACACAAACAACACGCACACAACACGTGCTGCAAGCTCACATCCTGGCCTTTATTCATCACACAACACACATCGACACACAGCACACACAGCAAAACACACAGACACGTGAAACACGCACAGACACACACACAGACACACACACCACGCACAGACACAAACAACACGCACACACACAACACGTGCTGCAAGCTTACATCCTGGCCTTGATTCACAACACAACAACTGTTCAGGTGCCTATATTTATTCAAGCAATAACTCATCAAAATACATGACATAAAAAAATCATTCATTAATGATACAAACTGATTCAAGACACCATGATACCAAAACCATTACATTAAATGGTTATTGTCAAACAAATAACAGGAATGCTCTAAATTCTTAAAAATAATTTTGGTTTGCGGACACCTGACATGTTCCTTCCACACTTTTTAATCAATAACAAGTACCGTATTTGTGGAACAAGAGAATGAAACGTGCTGAAGTAGCAGCATGGGGTACACACTATACAACAGTGACGAAGTCAACAAAATCCCAATAAAATCCCAATAGCTGTTTAGATCTTCCTTTGATGATAGGGTGGTCGGGTAGCCTAGTGGTTAAAGCATTCAATCGTCACGCCAAAGACACAGGTGCGATTCCCAACATGGGTACAATGTGTGAAGCCCATTTCTGGTGTCCCCCACCGTGATACTGCTAAAAAGCGGCGTAAAACCATACTCTCTCACTCATTGGATGTAAACAAGAAAAAAGTGAAACATTGCAAAATTCATCATTAGGAACAAAACCTAATGTACAAGAATGTGTTAAATTATTTGATATCTGCACTATATTACCTTAAACCATTCCCAAATTGGTGACCATTTTGTTTGCCATTACAATCCAATGTCACATTATCTGGGCTACCGTGAAGCTTCCTGTTTAATACATGACTAAAATGCTAATAATTCATGATAAATTTGCCTCTTACTGAAATAATTCTGACTCCATATTACTAAGTCTATCAGGGAAAATACAAGTAGCAGCAGAGTGGCCCCTAGGAAACATCAATTAACAGTGAAAATCATCAAGCTGGTTCTGAAAACAGGTCCAAGATTTGCAATGCCACTCATTTTGGTTATGCAAAGAGCAACAACATATTTATAACTTGTCCAAAGTCACTGACAGACCTTGTGCCCTTCCAGGCTCTTTCCGAGCTGGCTTTCATCCTGCGTCTGGACCTCTGTACCCAGAAGTTCATTATGTGTGAAGTTGTTATTTTGTACTAAAAACTGTACACATTCATCATAAATTACGCAAATTGTCCTATTCTAAAAACTGTACACATTCATCATAAACTACACAAATTTTCCTTTTCTAAAAACTGACAATGCCCGGTGAAATGTCGTCAGTGTTTTCTTCATGACATCCACTCCAAGCAACAGCTACTAGAGGGACATCCACATGAAACATCACTCAATGAAAGGAAACTATTAGCAAACCACAAAGACTTGGAAACTAAAAATGCCATTCGGGAAATATAAAAGTATACAATAAAATTCTGACTTTGCAAAAACTCACATTAAAATCACATTTCGTACCTAAAAGATCTCAAATCCCAAAAATTGCAAATAAAATGATTAAAATAGCATTCAATATCATTCAACGTTGGTATCATTTACCCAATATCTAGTTATAACACGACACAAACAGAGCTGCTATTAAGCCACAGTTTTAAAAGGCTGTTCTGTCAACAATACACAGACAACGTCAAAACAAACACGCGCTGTACGCCATGGCAGCCCTCTAAGTTTGTTTTCATGTTAGGGAGTCAAGCGGCTCCTAATATGAGTATCTTAGGAGCCAAACTGTCAGATTTTAGGAGCCAACAGATATTTTAAACAGATATTGTTGCCAGTAATGTTTACTTTAAGGTAGTCAAGTGACAAGCAGTAGATAAATTTAGGTCGCCAGTCATAGAATAAAGCCGCATTTGGTCAGCAAAATGGTCGCTACTTAGAGGGCTGCGTAGAAACGAACGTTTGACTGTTCGCCCTAGCTGTGTGGCTGCAGGTATTACTACCAACACACATACTCTAACACAATGGTAACTGTGATTACAATCATTCATGGATAATAATAATATTAATATTAATAACAATAATTAAATATACTATAATCATGAAAATGCTCAATGGGTTGATTCCATTTCAAACTGGCAACACAACAAACCACTTGTCAAGACAGGACATGAGAGCTTGATAACTTGTTAACGCTTAGCACTGTAAATCCTGTGTGCGGAATACGCATAAAGTCGGAAAGCCGTTCCCTTCAAACTACTTGCGAATGAAAACAACCAGACACAATCTTGACATGTCTTGAATTTTCAAACCAAAAATTGCAAGGCAGAATTTGAAATGGAGATTTTGAATTTAGTTGAAATCATAAAATGAAAATAAATTCTCACAAGGTCATTATTTTGCTTTATCAAACACTGTACATAATGTTGTGCATTGAGCATGCCTTGGGTGTATAAAGTCTAGCGCAATTTAACAACCCACATGGTTTTGACAAAACAAACATGACAAAAAAATGGGGCAAGAATTCTTCCTTTTATTATGACCTGTCTGATCACACAATCTCCCATCAGAAACACTCCCAGAAGACATTCTCCCTTGTGCAAGATTATGTCCTAAAACTAATAGCAACTTGTATGACCACCTACTGCTAACAGCTTGAGTAGCAGAGCCATTAGTGATGTCATTTGGTTGTGACGTCATGGTAACCAATGACATCACAATGGTCTGCAAAGCACTGTGATGCAATTTCATTGCAGCGATATCTACAATGTAGATATCGCTTGATCTCACCTGAGCATTTCTCCTCTGGGAGTCAGTTTTGGATGATAAACTAAGATTATCAACCTACAGACATAGTGACCTGGGCCCCGTTCCTCAAAGTGATCTTAGCACTAAGGTGATCGTAAGTCCCATACTTAAACATAGGCTTACAATCATCGCCGCACTAAGATCGCTTTGACCTTCAGTTATTAGCTGCCCAACAAAAAACATTGCTTGGCGTCAAAGCATCAGAAAAACACGGATGAAAACACATGTACAACCCTCATGTCAGCTTCAGAGAAGCCGAACCTCCTTTTGAAAATTTGATTCCATCTCCTGCCAAATTCGTAAAATGATTGAGTACTACGTTCTTTTTAAATCCAGTATGGGAGTTCCTATTCATTTGACTGTTCAGTAGAATTATTGAACTAAAAATCTTTTGCGTTGTTTCAAAGGGTCTTTTCTCGACATTGGTATAAATATCTTGAACTAAATCATGGATTTTAACAGGCGTTTTTGTTAAACCACTTCATTAGATAAGGTACAGAAATCTGAACCAACATCTGTTCAGGGTCTGGTTGTCACAAGGATTCCATCGATTGTATGTTAGAACTTTGGGTTACACCCGTATAAGGGCTTTACTGTGCAAATGATGTCTGCTACCCCCCGCAAGCTTTACCCATCACATCCTGACAACCAATCAGAAGACCCTCTCACCCTGACAACCAATCAGATGACCCTCTCACCATGACAACCAATCAGAAGACCCTCACACCCTGACAACCAATCAGAAGACCCTCTCAAAATGCTGATCAGGATTGTGGGAAGGTCTGTGTGCTGGTGCATGAGGATGGACAGGTCCACGACGGCGGGGCGGAGCCAGGTATTCAAACATAGACGTTGTATGCCGCGACAACATCTGCGTCAGCTCTGTTGGCATGGGATCCGACCAGAATAAGTCATGATTCAAAGCAGTGTCACAGTCCAGCCTCTTAGAGGGGTCCAGGGTGAGAAGCTTGTCGAGAAGATCAATAGCATACTGATCGCGAACATACGGCTTTAACCTCTCCCTCACCTTCCTCTTCTGGCCTTTTGGGAGCTCAATCTTCCCATACAGCTCCAGCTTATCCACCCCGACCCACACCTCCGGGTTGATGGACCCACACAGCTGGCTGATGAGCTGGAGCTGATGCTGCTCCGTGTTGCCCTGCATAATGGGTGACCGGGTCCACATCTCGGCCATGATACACCCTGCCCCCCACACGTCAATCTGGGGACCGTAGTTCCTCTCCCCTAGAAGGAGTTCTGGTGGCCGGTACCACAGGGTCACGACTCGGTTAGTGTATCGGTTAGGCTGACTTCCTTTCGCAGCACTGAATGCACGCGCGAGACCAAAGTCAGCCAGTTTGAGAGTACCATTCTTGGTGATGAGGATGTTGGCTGCCTTCATGTCGCGGTGGAGGATCTTGTTGCTGTGGATGAAGTAGAGGCCGTTGAGCAGCTGCTGCATGACCTTCTTAATCTCCCCCAGCGTGAACTTCACATTGGCGTTGCTCAACAGACCGGCCAGGTCATGCTCACAGAACTCGAAGATGAGGTAGAATGTGCTCTTGAAGCGGTTGTATGGTCCTGCTATAATAACAATAAACAGGTGTCATTATCTTGAAAACAAAATGTCTGGCTTCAATTTCATAAAGGTCTTTTATAACCATTATGACTTTCAACTGGGGCAAAGGTCTAATCAGATGATTAGTTTATTGTTTAATGCTGCACTCAGCAATATTTCAGCTACATGATGGCAGTCTGTAAATAATCGAGACTGGACCAGACAATCCAGTGGTTGACATCATGAGCATCAATCCACGCAATTGGGATACAATGACATGCATCAACAAAGTCAGCGAGTCTGACCACCCAATCCCGTTAGTCGCCTCTTACAACAAGCATAGTCGCCTTTTACAACAAGCATGGGTAGCTGAAGATCTATTCTAACTCAGATCTTCACGGGTCACAACAAGCATAATCACCTCTTACGACAAGCATGGGTTGTTGAAAACCTATTCTAAACCGGAGCTTCACAGGTTCTCTATGAAGAGCACAATGTTTACGGAGTATATGCTTCAGATGAAGAATGAAGGAGTAGGCACATACATCGAAACGTTGTGTTCCTTTTAATAAAGAAGGTGACATCCATAAATTCTCTCTGGCATGTGTATCACTTCTAAATGCAATATAAAAACTTGAAGGGGCTATTTCATCCCAATCTAATCCCAGCTGCCGACCCTGCAGTGACAGTGCGACTCTCTCACCTTTGGTCCGGCATATCTCCAGAAGGTTGACGACGTTCTCATGCTTGAGGAGCTGCAGGATCTTGATCTCCCGTATCGCCGTGATGGGGAACTGAAACATACCACAGATACAGGCACAGGGCCATGCACATGAATACATGAACCTGAACCCACCCAGCCCAGGTTAGAGATAACAGAAATACATACCCCTTCTACTCAGCCCAAGTTTAGAAATAACAGAAATACACACCCCTTCCACTCAGCCCAAGTTTAGACATAACAGAAATACATACTCCTTCCAGCCACCCAGCCCAAGTTTAAAGATAACTGAAATACATACCCCTTCCACTCAGCCCAAGTTTAAAGATAACAGAAATACATACCCCTTCCACCCAGCCCAAGTTTAAAGATAACAGAAATACATACCCCTTCCACTCAGCCCAAGTTTAAAGATAACAGAAATACATACCCCTTCCACTCAGCCCAAGTTTAAAGATAACAGAAATACATACCCCTTCCACCCAGCCCAAGTTTAAAGATAACAGAAATACATACCCCTTCCACCCAGCCCAAGTTTAAAGATAACAGAAATACATACCCCTTCCACTCAGCCCAAGTTTAAAGATAACAGAAATACATACCCCTTCCACTCAGCCCAAGTTTAGATATAACAGAAATACATACCCCTTCCACTCAGCCCAAGTATAAAGATAACAGAAATACATACCCCTTCCACTCAGCCCAAGTTTAAAGATAACAGAAATACATACCCCTTCCACCCAGCCCAAGTTTAGAGATAACAGAAATACATACTCCTTCCACTCAGCCCAAGTTTAGAAATAACAGAAATACATACCCCTTCCACCCAGCCCAAGTTTAGAAATAACAGAAATACATACTCCTTCCACCCACCCAGCCCAAGTTTAGATATAACAGAAATACATACCCCTTCCACCCAGCCTAAGTTTAGATATAACAGAAATACATACCCCTTCCTTCTCATTTTCCATGAGAACTTTCTTCATGGCAACCAAGCTCTTGGTCTCACGGTTCCGGGCCTTGAACACCTCCCTGTAACATTACCACGGTTACCATTAGGACTGCCTATCGATATAGATTACAGAGATCGATAATCAGTAACTAAATATCGATCAATTATCGATAGCAATATCGGAGAAATAACTTTAAGCTAATATGTGAGAAAGTCCCCAAAGAAATCAACATATTTCATGCCACTGGTGAGCAGTGACACATTTACACATGGATTAGGGAAGTACGGGTGGCCCAGTCGTCTAAGGCACCGCAATTCACTGTGCAGAGTTGCGTCCCTTGGGCCAGAAACCTATGACTGTGAGTTCGAATCCTGATTTGCCCCAATTATGTTTCTAGGTTTGTCAGCACCATACCCGTGCTTGGGGGTTTCACCGAAGTGGTAAACATCTGAGACCTGCATCAATTTGGGCTTTCCTCCCACATTAAGCTGATATAACTGGAATACTGTTAAGAGCGGCGTTAAACACAACTCAAGTCACTACACACAGATTATTTATATTGACATTTGAGATATAACAAAAACAGTTTCTTTCCTTCTTCAACAATTGACATTATTGACAATAACTAGTCTAAAATCTGAGTTTGATACCAGTGTAAGCATCTACGTTGAAATGTTTATTGCATGGAGCTTGTTAATGGTGAAATAGTGTAAAAAATCTACATCAGAAACATAGCTATATGCAATAAACCAGAAGTTGTAAAAGTATCCATCAGATTGTATCTATTATTTACTCATGTAAGATACACCCGTATCCCCCTAAAAAATATAAAGAATTAAAAGGATTGAGCAGCAATCCATACATATTTAATTTTTGGAGAAGGGATAGGGTCTTTCCTTTACTCATACATAGGTGTATACAGAAACCCATTTATCTAGTTCACAGTTCAGTAGTACCTAGCTGTGTCAACAACGACCCTTACAAAGGTAGTTTTGGGTATTTGTACACAAAACAATACGAATAGTAGTAGGACAATATGGGTTTTTTAAAACCATAAAGGGTCGATATTGTCAAAACACTCGCAGTTCATTTTGAAACAGCTATCGTTGATGATGTATCCTATGAGTATCTCAAACTCAAATAACAAAAGATCAACTGTCTCAACAAACAATCGATTGTGGGTGGTTGGTTGAATCGATATTACTGGTGCAAAGGCTAGGTTTTGAGTTGTCAATCACGAAGTTCACTGTGCTAAGACCGACACATGACTTCCTAGTTGCAAGTCACTCCACTGCCCAAGACAGTTTTGATCGTAAGACGTAAGTTTCAACTTCCCAAAGCTTCGTCTTACCCAAAAGTGCCCTGGCCAATTTTCGTGAGCTTTTCATATTTTTCGCTGGCATTTTCACAATAGGGAAACACAAGGTCTTCTGTTTGACTACTCATTGCTGACAGAGCAGGTCTGTTTTCTTCGATGTTACATTATTGCGCGATCAAGAGCCAAGAGCATGATTGTTTTGTCAGCCTATGTGTACTACGTCATCAAAAAGGTCAAGATTGAAATATAATGACATGATAAAACTATGCATGACTAACGAAACTAAACACATTATCCTTTGCAAGATAATTTATCATAAATGAGGAAATTATTACATAATTGCTCTTTAAACAGAAAAAAAACGACATTTAATATGAATTTAATTTGTTTGTCTATGTTGTATGTGGTATAGATATGCACAGAAATCTATGACGTATTGTGCAAACACCTTTCGTTGTGTCGTTCCGTTTTGGGTCAGTTTGGCCGATCCTGCGTTGGTTTCAAGATGCCAAAAGTGGTGTCAAAGAGTGTCGTGTGTACGGACACGAAGGATCAAGAGGAATATCAGGGAGAGAAGCCCCTATATGTGTATTATTGCATTTGTGGACAAATGTGCCTGATTTTAGGCAAGTTTCACTTCCAAATAGTTCTCTTCATTTCCCTTTGCTATAACGTATAAACAAACACACGCGAAACAGTCTGGTGGGTAGTCCATCTGCTGTGAGTGATTGTGCTACTTGAAATCCGAAAACTATCGCCTGGTAAATAACAGTAACCCCAGGCGCAACTTATAACCCACTTGTCTCAGACTGCCTGCTGTCGCTCATACTTCAGAAATCTCGTATCACTCTACGATCTGTACCCACGTAGATTCTTACTAACTGAAAATAGTTATCCCATACCTAAAATTCTCGCCCCATTCGACCGCCTCCGTGGTCTTGTGGTAGAGCGTCCGCCCGGAGAGCGGAAGGTCCAGGGTTCGATCCCGGGCCGCGTCATACAAAAAGACGTTAAAAGATTGTACTTGTTGTTACCCTGTCTGGCGCTTGGCATTAAGGGGCTAAAACAAGGACTGGTCGGCTCGGAGTCAGTATACTGTGTCTGAGTGGGGTATTCATGTTAAACTGCGGCATGGTATCTCAGTGAGCTAGCACTATAAATCGGCATCAGTCCGGACTAGTACAAGCAGCCACACACACACACATACACGTGCATGCACGTCGCTATATAAGTGCAATAATCTTGGACGCGACGTTAAACCCAATTTCACCTCACCTCACCTCTCGCCCCATTCGTAACTGATTTGGAGTAATTCATACATATTAAATACTTATACATAATTATTTGGTTGACTCATACATTCATTGGATGATCCGTAGGCCTACACAAATCTAGATGAACCGGTCACTAAATTTGGTGGACTTGTACACAAAGTTGAAGAACCTGTATCCATTTATTGTCATAATTGTTTAGTAACGAGTCGGCGTGAAAGCAAGAGTCCAAAACCAGATTGTGTTAACCAGTGTAGATGTAAAAACAACAATATAGCCTATGTGTTATCATGAATCCACAGCACTAAATTCCCACATTCAAACATTCGGAGCACCTTTAGAATACAGTACCACAACTTCTCGTGAGGACGGTCTTTGCCGTAGGTCACATGTCTCAAAGACAAGCAACCAGTTATTGTGAGATTCTGTCGGACGCGAACTTGTGACCTTCGGATTGTTAGCCCGACAGCTAACCGACTGAGCTATGTCCACACTGTGAAACAAAGTGCAAATTTACCTAGTCATGCCTACGACGTTAGGGAACGAAAAGGGTCGAATAGGTGACAGGACCCTTACGAAGGTTACGGGTAGGCATGGTGTCTCGTGACTTTAGTCTATCGACACTTATGAATGATCCCGATGCCATTTGGCACACTCGTCCCACTCCGTAATCTACAAGATACCGAGTGACGAGGAATGATCTGATATGGCGCGAACTGATAACGGCTCAAGGCGTCATACGTCGAACTCGCGAGTATGCATGAATGACATGTTATTTAATCATTCTTCGGGTGGATTTTGTGACAGAAAAGTGTGGTAGCGAACACTGTAAGGATGATGTGGAAAATAGTAAGGAACGAGGGAGGCATGTGCATGGCCAGTGAAGACACAATGGTGAGTTCGCTTTTGAATCAGTACTGAAGAAATGTAGCCGGTGAAATTGGCTTGTGTGAATGTTTCAGGACAGTTTCCAGTAGCCAAAGTATTCGAACAAAACCATTTGATTTTTTTTACTCGATGTTTTTGTGTGAAGAATATTAGGAGCCGCTATAAAATCTATAATAGAAACTAAATGGGTAGATTTACCAAACCCTAATGACCGTAAAGGGATGATTGATCGTAAAGGGGATCCAAGGGCTAAGGACAGAATTCGGGTGATTTAAAAGCCACTAAACGGGTACCTAGCCCTAATGATCGAAAAGGGGTGATTGATCATAAAGGGGATCTAAGGGCTAAGGATAGAGTTCGGGGTAACCTATCCTAACATTAGCGATATTTGGATGTGCCAATATAATATCCCTAATAAACAACATTCTTGTGCATAATAATGAAAATTAATGCACCGAAAAAATAATTTATGTATATTAGTTCCGATTTATAACCCTTTTAGCCACTTGAATTACGAGAAAAATGAAAAAAAAAATATATAAAAAATAAAAGTGCTTTCGTAAACTAGCGCTTGCTATAAAATGCGCCGCCGCAGGCTATATTCTGTAAACAAATATTCAAAACTCTCCACAGCGCTTGGCGTATTCAATGTCATTTTGTGTAGAGATGATAGATCACTGTGAGGAGCTTATGCACACTCGATGACTCCTGACGTCACAGGGCATTGTTTCGCCGGTGTGACTGGCAACAACATACTACAAATTACGTCATAGGGTATTGTCACATGTTTGAAAAGTGTGTGGTACTGTATTCTAAAGGTAGGCCAAACATTCTGAGCACTTTCACTATGAACCCCATACAATCATTCATTATACGTTTCAAACATTCATTCATTATACAGGGCCAAGGGTGGCCCAGTGGTCTAAGGCGCCACGATTCGCTGTGCAGCAGAGTTGCGTCCCTTGGGCACGCCAGTAACCTATGATTGTGGATTCGAATCCCAGTTCGCCCCGATTATGTTTCTAGGTTTGTCAACACCTTCCCCGTACTCTTGGGTTTCACCGAAGTGGTAAACGTCTGAGACCTGCATCACTTCGGGCTTTCCTCCCACATTAAGCTGACACGCCGTGATGTGACTGGAATACTGTTAAAAGCGGCGTTAATCCCAACTCACTCACTCACTCACTCATTCATTATACATTTCAACCATTAAAATAATTCACATTTTACTCACAATATCTTGTTTGAGATAATTGGTGATTATCCCTTTGACTGAGAACCAATTAACATGTTTTCCGGAATTTAAGGTATTGTATCATTATTATTATTCTTAGATCAAATAAACTTAGACTAGTGGTTAAGGTGTTCGCTCCTCATGCTGAGACCCGGGTTTGATTCCCTAGATGGGTACAATGCGTGAAGCCCATTTGTGGTGTCCCTCACTGTGATATTGCTGGAATATTGCGAAAGCGGCGTAAAACCCAACTCGCTGACACAGTGTGTATAAATACATGTTTGTGGGTACAGAATGTCCACAAGACACTGATCTCTTGGCCTTTACTTGTGTGTTTTACTAAGGACTTGTATCATGTGATTTTGTTTTTATGCTTCAGATTGTCCCATGGACAAACTTCCACTTAGAAAACGGGACAACTCACGAGTCATTGATGGCCAGAAGCATGCACACAAGTTGACCTGTGATCCTGATGACATCATATATCTCCGACGGTAAACCAATCTCACAAAATCAAATCAAAATTCACCGCTAAGTGGAACAAAAGCCCTTTTTGGAAGGCAAAAGGTTAGGACATGCTACACACCAAGGATAAATATTAAATTATGTTTTCATAATGCCATAAAAGTGATCACCAGCAGTGTAACCATCTATCTAATGGTAGAAGTGGTCTTGGACTAGCAGATTTATGTTAATTTTGATCCCTGCACACTGATATACATGGACAGTTATAACTAACATGACAATAGCATGACTATTCACTCGTCATGATTGAAGCTTAGGTGTTGCCTTCGGTGATGTTGCTGGAACGTTGCAGCACCAAACCACTCACTTAAAATGAGCCTGATATTATTCAGTACTGTGAAATGCTCTATGAATTCAAATATTAGTCAGTGTATCAATTTATTTCGTGATATTTTCCAGTCGACATCAGTCTGCACACATTTGTCTGGTAATAGTCTTCATGCTCTGTTTTGCACTGTCACCTTCTTGTTCTTCACAGCTCTAATGCTCTGCATTGGCGGTCAGGTAGCGTAGTGGTTAAAGCGTTTGTTCTCACGCCGAAGACCCGAGTTCGATTCCCCACATAGATACAATGTGTGAAGCCCATTTCTGGTGTCCCCCGCCATGTTATTACTGGAATATTGCTAAATGTGGCGTAAAACCATACTCACTCACTCTGTCTCCTCCGGGAACATGCTACTCAAGATCACTCTTTGCTGGACCTGTGAAGATTCCGGGATAGAATAGGCCGTAAAAGGCAACTATGCTTGTCGTAAAAGGCGACTAACGGGATCAGATGGTCAGGCTTGCTGACTTGGTTGATGCATGTCATCGATCCCAATTGCGTGGATCGATGCTCATGATATTAATCACTGGATTGTCTGGTTCAGACTCGATGATTTACAGACCGCCGTCATATAGCTGGAATATTGCTGAGTGCGGCGTTAAACAACAAACCAACCAACCACTCTTTGCTGTTTGTAACTATTTCCAGGAAAACCGGGGCTGGTTCTTAAGATTATTGTTCTGTTTACAGGCCTGAAGGTATAGAGAAGCAGTACAGGCAGAAGTGTAAGAGGTGAGAATCAAGAGTTTACAAGTTTATTAATTTACCGAGAAATCAGGCGGCCAAAACTTAAGTGTCTTTAGCTCACCTTACCTACATTTATTTATTTCAATCAGTCGTTTGCCTTGTTTGCATGACCTTGACCTTACGCTGCACTGAAAAACAGAGGATGTAGAAGAGAAAATATCTGTTGGATGTTTTATTTGTTTATAGCCAATCAAATTGCTAGGTTTTTCTTTAACATGTTTAAAATTTAAATTTTTCTAAAATATGTGCTTTATTTGTTGCTACAGGCCGACTTCCAAACTCTATTGGTAATATTCCACACAATGGACATTCTGTCTATTTTTTTCTTAGCATCACTGGGTCAAAATGAAACCACACACTACCATTTCTCTTCCACATGTTCCAAGACACGTTAGAGAAGTGAAAATGTGAGTTATCTCCCCTCACCGAGTCCATCCTAACCTCCCATACTCGAATAGCCTTAGTTCACAGTGGTTGCCATGGCTACTGAAGTTGTGGGTGGGAAAGCCAGAGACTAATACATTAGGTAGTAACATTTTAGGGCTATAATTTCAACCAGTTCCCAATGGTTTTATTTCAAATTGAAACTGAATAAAACAGGGAATTTGTAAACATGGATGTCTCGTTCAAGCATGACGAGCTGCACACACTGAGGACCAGAGGTATTAGGTTTTCACTTGTACTCTCAGGCTCTGGACGGTTGTGACACTGACTTAAAGGGGAAGTGTACACGCAAAAATCACTTTTTATCTTTTTCTAAGCAAAACGCAATTTTAGAATTAATTAGTATCTGTGTTTGAAAATATACACTCATTTTTTTCACAGTGAAAGTAGGAAGCTCACAATAGTGTGAAAATGATATGCCGTTATGAGGCCTTCGTTTTTCGAGCTAAACAGTCCTGAGTTATCCTCCTTAGATTATGACGTAATTGGTGCCAATTCAACTGGGTCCCTGTCTATTCTCAACGCAAAAGATATCAAGTACCAGTTTGCGGTAAAACAACATGGCCTACAACACATTCCGGCGCAGTGGTGACTCAGCATAACACTATGCTGGCTGGCATCTGAGACGCTAGAATCACACACCTGTACCTACACCACGTGAAGCGGCTCTAACAAAGCATGATGACGTCATAATGTTTATCAATTGGCACCAATGACGTCATATTGCAAGGGGCATAAGCCATGGTGTTTTTGTTGTGGAAATAGAACACTTGGTAAATGTGAAAAATATAAATCGTTTTAATGCGAAAAATATGTTAATAAATTGTGATATTTTTATATTTTTGTCTATGACACTTCTAGGTTAACACTTTTAATGTGGAAAAAGTACAAGAAAAATAGGTTCATTTCCGTGTGAACTTGCCGTTTAACCCACTCTCAAAGACATTCGACAGGTTCCTTTTACCTTTGGCATATGCTTCGACAGCATCCATAATGATTTCAAAGTTGTGATCCCAATTGGGTCAATATTTGAATAACTGATGAAGGCTGTTTTTGTCAACCATGGAGAAGTCATCAGTGAGTATATGACCTACAGGTTGATCAGCATGATGAGTCTTGACAGCCACAAGTAGTGGAATTTACATCATGAGCTGCCAGGTCCACCTTCTGTAACCCCTTCCTATAATTGAACAACCTGGATGAAATGGTGTTCGTAGGAAAAGGAAATTGTTGGTGGTTCATAAAAGTTGAAATATTGTGGCACATTTTGGAAAAAAAATGATTTTGTCTGAGAATGTTTCTTAAATGTAAGTTGTTTTGTGGTGTGGCACCCTGGTCTGTGTCTGTTTTTACCAACTAATGGAGTCTGTTTTGTTGGTAAAGGTGTGGACTGTGGCTGTATTATCATCACCAAGGCAACAGCAACGTCATGTTTGTTGTGGACGGTGCACTGAAACGTGAGACCGATGGCTTTAAGACTGATGTCTACAGTCAGCTGGCAGCTCCTAAGAAGGTAGGAAACTGCTCCCTCTGCTTTCCTGTTACAACAACAACAACAACAACGTCAGCCGTCATGGGTTTATTTTTCCTCTTAGAGCCATTTAGCTGGTTTTATCAGTAGCCAGTTTTATCTATACATAATATAATGAATGTCTGACAATAGTTTCTCGTTTAAGATTATGATTGCCCTTTCCCAAATCTTTTGTTTCAGCAGATTCTCAATTTGTGACACAAAAAACACTAATCATAGCGTTTGTACACTTTTTAAATCGAAGCCAATCAAAATCTTTCTGCAGGATCAGAACTCATCCTTCCTCAGTAGTTTGCTTGCTTGCAAATATTGGAAATACATTTGCCGTTATTGTTCTACCACTGACAGCGACCTACTTCCTGCTCCACATGTCACACTCATATAATGAAATAGCAAAGCCATGTAGCCTATTCTATGTAGAGAGTAGTGATACAATCATGCTTTGTGCTTTGTTATTTAGCTAATCAGCAAATTTTTGTAGAATACAAAAATAGTTTTTAAGTTTTTTATGTCAAGTTATGATTGCGCATTTTCTACATTTTTATGGAAAGATTGTGAGTGAGTATGGTTTTACGCCGCTTTTAGCAATATTCCAGCAATATCACGGCGGGGGACACCGGAAATTGGCTTCACACACTTTACCATGTCGGGAATCGAACCCGGGTCTTCCGCATGACGAGCGAACGCTTAAACCACTAGGCTACCCGACCGCCCCTTGAAAGATTGGGAAGAACAGTCCCAGCCAATATTGTATATGAAAAAAATTGTGTTTTGGTTCCACTTGGTAACATTTGAGAACATACGGTTGTGAAGCATTTCAGATTTTAATTACATGGAAGAATTAAGTAGAATAATGGGCTTTCCTTCCAATAATAACGTAACGAGCCACAGTACCACTAACCATGGGTTCTAACGCACCATCCTAAAATTTCAATATTATAGGCGACCATTTCGGTCACTTATAAGTGGGATGGATATATCTGTATCTACTTGTTAAGCTCTCAGTTTTTATGGCACTGTTTTAGAGATTGTGTGACGGACATGCTGGGGTGAAGGTCAGGTAATGTAAGGTTATGTCAAGGTTATGACCATCATAATGCCCCAGAATCATGGCCAAGCCCAGCTGTTGTCAGTAAAGGTCACTAAAAAATTGATTAAGATTGTGTTGACCCTTACTTCACGTTGTGCCAGAAGTTGGGTTACTAATCTTTGAAAATCCATGTCAAATAAGAAATCTTGCACGCCTCATCAAGCTTGGACTGAAGAAGCATGGAAAGTTTGCACAAGACACATCCACTAATTTAGACCACTTATGGACCTTGATACAGGCATTGGCACAAATACAACCAACAAGTAATCCCTTGGTGTAGCTGGTGACAGGAAGGTTTACCAGTTTGAATGAGTTTGGGTCATGAAAGGCAGACAATGATTGATCAGAGTTTGCTTCACGGCATCCCATGTACAAAAATACTCGCTGAAAAAACTGGGATGCAAAAAAACAACCTTCATGCATCTCCTCACACGTTTTTCATTTTGTTAGAAGTTTATCTTACACATAACTTATTGTTGTTTTGTTTCGAGTTTCTCTTGCCTCCCAACATCCATGTTATGCACACATGAAAACAGACACTTAATGATTTAAACCAGACACTTTGTTTATGCTCAGAATGACTTAAAATACACCATTTCAGGTCTACATTTGACAAATTTCTTGGAGGATGTGTGCACCCAAACCCCTCTAGATAGCCTAGCACCTGGGGTGCTTGCGGGTAGTGTGTCCAAGGGGACCTCCTTATTGTGGAGACCAATGCAAACACTGATTGATGTTCATCAACACCATACTGCCATTCATGGTTTATACTGATTGGTTTATAATTGTTACTTTCAGAGCCCAAATTATCCCAGATATTCCTCAATTTTGGTTAGGCGTCTGGGGTTTAAAATGTGTGTGTGATGTTGTCATGCAGTCATTGTGTCTAGTTACCTGTAACCTGGTGGTTTTTGTTGCCAGGTAACACTGACGAAGCACACGAAGAACATGGGCAAGTTCAGTTCTGTAACCGTGTCAACCGTGGACGAGGAGGAGGAGGAGATTGAGGCGGTAAGTGACCCTGGCTTCTGTAACAAGTGTGTGGTTTAATTATTATTATATCACCTGTAACATCATATCCCCAACCTGTGTAGAACTGCATGATGTTACTGGTATACTACAATATGCTTTTTGAACAATATGTATTGCAAAAAAACAAATTGTGTATTTTTATAAACTTTGACTTGTTGGTTGAAGTTTGTTGATTTTGTCTTTCAGAAAGAAATAGCCGATTCATATGCAGCTAATGCCAAGGTCATTGAGAAGCAGTTGCTGAGGAAAGGGATGAGTAAACGAAAGCTTCTGGAACAGGTACACATCACACAATAGTTTCCATGGTTACACTCAGTTGTTACACTTCCTGATTTACCAACTTATGTATATATATCCTTCAGTCATGTTATGATGTATATATCCTTCAGTCACTACGGCATGTATATATCTTTCAGTCACATTATGATGTATATATCTTTCAGTCATGTTACGATGTATATATCCTTCAGTCACTACGGCATGTATATATCCTTCAGTCACGTTATGATGTATATATTCTTCAGTCACTGTGGCTTATATATATCCTTCAGTCACATCATGATGTATATATCCTTCAGTCAATACAGCATGTATATATCCTTCAGTCACGTTATAATGTATATATCCTTCAGTCACGTTATGATGTATATATACTTCAGTCACTTTGGCATATATATATCCTTCAGTCATGTTATGATGTATATATCCTTCAGTCATGTTATGATGTATATATCCATCAGTCGCTACGGCATGTGTATATCCTTCAGTCACTACGGCATGTTTATATCCTTCTGTCACGTTATGATGTATATATCCTTCTGTCACGTTATGATGTATATATCCTTCAGTCACGTTATGATGTATATAACCTTCTGTCACGTTATGATGTATATAACCTTCTGTCACATTATGATGTATATAACCTTCTGTCACGTTATGATGTATATAACCTTCTGTCACGTTATGATTTATAAACCTTCTGTCACGTTATGATGTATATATCCTTCAGGTTAATACTAAAGCAGTATATATCCATGTGTCAATACCATGTTTTATGTTCTAGGCTGAGGAAGAGGCCAAGAAGATGAGACCGAAAGGAACACTGATCGACAAGTGAGGAGCACCAAGGGTGGCCATGTATACCAGTTCTCCCACTGTGATGGCTGGCCATTGTATATCCTTATAACAACATAGGTTTGCAGTGGTCATATATGCCGAATATGACTTTGTGAAACATTTATCCTTGTGCAAGAAAAATGTCTTACACAAGAAAGCGTGGAAGAAGCTTTGTCCATAGAATTGGATTTGTGAATTCCTGTCTGGAACATCCTGAAAAGCAGTGCATAGTTCTTGTGTGTTATACCTCAGGGGTTATAAGAGACACAGTGTCTGTGTTATTCCTCAGGGTTTGTAAGAGACACAGTGTCACAGAACATATGTTGATCCTCTTGTAGAGAAAGGAGCCTGAAGAAGAGAAGATGTGTGGTGTCTTAACATGTATGAATGCTGTTTGTCGTATAATACTGTATCCAGTAAGGTCTCATGAGATATGACTATGTGACATAACCGATCCAGGGAGGTTGTAAATAGCAAACTTATGTTGGGCAATGTATATATTATCTTGAAGTGGAAGATTTAATGACAAGTGTACTTACTATCTTATGTCTAAATCGGCCTGTGCAGATCAGTCAAAGAATAGTGTGCACAGGTAGATCAGTAGACTAGAGTTGCCTCCCTTTGTTGTGGTCCATTGTTCTCCACAGCCTGACCATGCCTGGTGGGTGTCACCAGGGCTCTGTTCCACAAAGCCAACGTAGCGCTATGATGACTGTAAGCCTATGTTAAAGATAAAGTACGGGAGTTACGATCACCTTAGTGCTATGATGACTGTAAGCCTATGATAAGACAAAGTGTTAGTGTAACGATCACCTTAGCACTATGATAAGACAAAGTATTAGTGTAACGATCACCTTAGTGCTATGATAAGACAAAGTATTAGTGTAACGATCACCTTAGCTCTATGATGACTGTAAGCCTATGATAAGACAAAGTATTAGTGTTACGATCACCTTAGCACTAAGAAAACTGTATGCCTGTGTTAAAGACAAAGTATTGGTGTTACGATCACCTTAGTGCTAAGATCACTTTGTGGAACAGGGCCCAGAACAGTAAGCATTAGCACCTACAACACTTTCCTTCCACATTAATCTGACGTGCCATGATACAGCAGAAGTACTGCTCACAGTGGCATTAATCCCAACTCATCAAGTCACTCACAAACAAAACAATATCTTTGACAGAGTGGCGTAAGTTCAGACAGATCATATCCCTACATCGAAATATGGAACACAAGTCTACATAAGGGTATTCCCCAATGTAGTCATGCAATGTTTACTTTGCTGTCTATCACTAAGAGAGGAATCTAAATATTTGATGTTGAAGATTTCATGATCTGTAAAGGCTGCATGCGCTTGTATTGATATATTGTACATAGCTCACATTGTACACAGTTGCATCATGTCTTTTCATCACTGTGTATTCATCATATCAAATAAAGTCTCAGTCTTGGATGTCATTGTGTTTGCTCTTCCTCTTTTGGCCAGTTGTGTGAGACACTTGTGTAGAGTTGTCTATCTTTGTTTTCCCAGGATCCACTGCTCGAGAGATGGCAGTATTAGTATTAGTAGTAGTAGTAGTCCCAGGATCCACTGCTCGAGTAGTAGTAGTAGTAGTAGTAGTAGTTTCTTTGGTTGTTTGTTGTTTAACGACACACTCAGCAATATTCCAGCTATATGACAGCAGTCTGTAAATACGAGTCTGGACCAGACAATCCAGTGATTGACCATGAGCATTGATCCACCCAATTGGGACCGATGACATGCATCAACCAAGTCAGCGAGCCTGACCACCCGATCCTGTTAGTCACCTTTTACGACAAGCATAGTCGCCTTTTACGGCAAGCATGGGTTGCTGAAGACCTATTCTACCCCGGATTTTCACTGGTTGTGACTTTGAAGACAATGTCCAGACAATGTCCAACTTAGAACAAAAGCCTGCCACAATGCACGTGTACAGATATTAGAGGGTGTTCTGGAAAGGAAAGGACCTGGGCACGTGAAGCAGCCAGAGTCCGAGCAAAGCTTATTGGAGGTCTCCTCGTATACAAACACGAAACCTCGTGCAGAGCTTTCATGGACAGCAGTTTTTGGAAGTGGTTGGCATAGCAGTGTACAGCTGTGACATTGATTTATACTAGAGGAAAAAGCCCTGTCACATTAAAATATCACATTAAAAGACAATTGGTATGGATCTTCCAACAGCATGCATGATGTTCTATTGTAGAAACACTTTGTTGTGATGACCCTGAAATTGCACGTGCATACCCATCATTGCGTGCATATAGTCCCACAAGTAAGAAAACGTCACACATTCAGAGAACACGGCACCGAGTCAATTCAAACACGCAGTACATCGCTGGAAGTATTTTATCTGTGAAAAGTAACTCATCTTCCCGAGTTATGGCCATTCTATGTCCCGCCTACTAACGTTTTAACCAATCACATTCCACTTCTCATATAACTTATATTTGCTTCAACAAATTGGCGGCGCCCAATCAAGATGATCTGATCGATAATCAAGATCTACCGTATTCGACAAAATAAGCGCCCAGGGCGCTCTCAAAATTAGAAATAGGTGGCTCTTATTAGAATATATTTTTTTGTGAGATTAAAAACGAGGTTGTAAATTTTGTGGTTTATGCTGACAGCCTTAAAATGATATAAAAGAACATTCTGTGTGTATTATACACGATAGATATATTTTCGGGAATTTAATTGCCCATAATTAAGGGTGCATATAACAAACGAGTGCGTATTATACACGAACAAATAAGTCTTGTGTACATTGATCAATCGGAAAGGGTGCTAATTGGGATTGTTCACTAGCCAATATATAAGCAAATATCGCCGTGGGCGCTTATTAGAGCGGGGTGCTTATTACGTCGAATGCGGTATATTGTAACAAAACGGGTCTTACTTCGCGAAGTGCATCAAATCACGTGAGCACTTTGATTAAAAACATGAAAAGACTTGGAAAGTATCTGCTGAGGCTAAGTTGACACTGCACATGCTTTTCAAATTCTGCAATTGACCGAAATCTGCACGGGATTTTGATTTGACAATGCACAGACTCATTAGTCCAGCCAAAATATAGCTCCATAATGCGAGCCTAGTTCGGCAAGGGTGGAAGATGAAAGCTGCTTTGTTGATGGCCAAACCTTGTAAACGTTATGCAATGCCCATCTGAAAATGAGCTGTTGCAGGCAATTTGAATGCTTGATATCGGAATTGCACAAAACGTTGCTGGGCGTTTTGGTGTTAATCGTAACATGTAGGCTACAGTCACTCTAGGGTCGGTACCAAGAAACTGGCAACACCAGGAACCGACCATGTTCCGGATGTCCACGAGTAACGTCATGTCGGCATGACAATGATATATATCCGTTTGGTTCACCTACGAAGCTGGTTTCAGACTGCAACTGTGAAAGCCCACAGCATCCCTTGCTTACGTCCAATCAGTGCAAGGACAGTGGGGAATTGATTACGAGAGCATCACATCTGACCACGACGTACAACTGCATGTACGTCCAATTTATCTGCCACGTCATCGAATTGCATCCTGGCATGGTCAAGACAACATCTGAGGTTCCGGCTACAGGACTAGAGGTTATTTATTGATTCTTGTACTTGCCTGCATAAAATTTGAATTAAGTTCACTGCTTCTTTCCTTGTGGCGACTGTTCCATCGCTGTATGTAGCCTGCAACCTTGGGGTATCGCGGTACTTGTCATGTACGCTAAACGGAACAAAATGCACTCACTAACCAGCGTTAGAAATTGGCACTAGTCCTGTAGTCCTTACCAAACTGCCCAATAGTGAGTGAGTGAGTGAGTGAGTTTGGTTTTACGCCGCTTTTAGCAATATCACGGCGGGGGACACCAGAAATGGGCTTCACACATTGTACCCATGTCGGGATTCGAACCCGGGTCTTCGGCGTGACGATCGAACGCTTTAACCACTAGGCTACCCGACCGCCCCGCCCAATAGTGAAGGTATCCTAAGGACTAGTAGAAATTGGCCCATTTTAAGGGGTTTTGCTATATGTTATCATTATAAGGACTAGTGGACAAAAACTGTCAGTTTCTAACCCTGCTGACCTTTATGATTATTCGTGTTCTCTATATCAGGTGTCATTTATTTTATCTAAATATGCATATTTTACTGATAAAAGTTCAGTATTTACATTAGTCGCACCGAGTAAAAGCCGGGCCTTGTGCTCAGTTTGACAACAGAGAAAACTCCATCGCATCGCGGTACAGGGAAAAGTTGTGTATGAAGGTCCGAATTGGACAAAAACAGGACATAATTCTACCAACCACTAAGTATGATTATGCCAGACATCAGTGATTTGTCGAGACAAGTGCAAAGACAGCACAAGTAAAATTCTGAATTTGTTATCAGTAATAGGTATCCAATGCATATTTACCGAAAAGTAATAAAACATATTTAAAAAAATCAACAACAAAATATCAGAAATGATATTTAAGATATTTGTTAAAAAAATTGGATAAAATTAATTTGTCCAAAAAATGTTTAAAATAAACAATAAATATATTTAAAAAGTACTCCTAGTATGACCAAAGTATGTATTTATCATTTGGCTACTGGTGAAGAACGTATTTCTAAGTATGGCATAATGGCCCTTATGATCTCATAATAGATTCCAGCCACAGAGCGGGAAAAAATGTGCGGGCTACGTAACTTCCGTTACCTTATTAGTCGCCATGAATATGCAGATGATCTAGTCGATGGAGAAAGTTTACACGAAGAACTGCGGGTTATACTGCGGCCATTGATAGATGGGGGTAAGGCAATATTAAAAAAAAAATGCCAGAAGTAAGTATCAACACATTAAGAACTCCTTACTTACAGCAGACGGAACATTCCGAGGAAATTGAAATTGTTTACGAAGTGAACACTTCCTGGTTACTGATTTGCATTATTAGACAGCCGCTAAGAGGCGTGTCCCGCGTGAACTACCGGAAATCACAAATGCCGCGGTACCACGGGGTCCGAGTGTGTACTTGGCGGAACAAGCTCCTCACACTGATAGTCTGTTCGCGGAGCTCTCTATACTATGTTACCGAGAGTGTAACGAAAGTGTCACGCGCTGGGAAGGAGTTTGTTTGGCGGGAAGGCTAAGGGAAGTAACTCTACATTACCTAACACTTGCTAATAGCTTTTCTCCTGAGAGTAATGGCCCTTGTTACAAATTCGTGTTACATTTATCCTTCGTCTTGGGCATTGTGGTCTTGGTGCTTATCTAAATGTTATTAATAAAAAAGACATTTCTGCACATTGTACAGTGTGTAATCAGCTTAATAATGAAACTGCTCCCCTGCCCCCCGGCTAGCTACGGCACGGTTAATACACGTGTACTGTCTCTCAACAACATATAAACAAAGCACCCGTGCATTCAAAATTCTATTCATAATGTGTGGTAGTTTTACCCAAATTGTTATATTAAAACATGAGACAAATTATTATTTTTGAAGCTTTTACCAACAGGAACTCGATATTGCTCTTTGTAAAAAATATACGCCCCCTATCGATATTGCTCTTTGTAAAAATATACGCCCCCTATACTACATGTATATTTTTACAAAGAGCAATATCGAGTTCCTGTGCTTTTACCCTCTATAACTTTTCCTACCTACAATCACAAATCCGACATTGATGGAAACAACGGACTCGTATCATAAAACATTAATATTATCATTTATTTTTCAGAAGCCATTTCTTAACTTTTAACCGTATTTTACAAGGGTTTATTGACTTTATTCCTTTGTAATATTGTTTCAAGAGCGCGACGAAAGATCAGCAATTAACTTCCTCAATACCGGAAATACAGAGTTATCGTCCTTTATCCAATGAAAATGGAGGACGCGCCTGTATTATTTTGTTGTGGAAGGCCGAAAATAAGATGTTAAACAACACTTGTTGAGTTTAGATACAGGTAAATGTTTAAACAGATACTGAAAGTCGATATCACCTGGTATTCTTTTGTAACGTAAGAGATGCAAAAGTGAATTCATTTTCCAAATTAGTGGTAAACTGAATTCACTGAACAAATATTTTCTACGACTAGGCCTAATAGCCTAGTACGAAGGACAGTTAATTCATAACTTTATCGAAAGTGTTTTGCAAATGTTGTACCGTCCACACATGCACAAATCGTGCACAGTTAATGCAGCAAATGTATATTTCTGGTGCCATTTCCCCATTCACACAAAGCGTGTCATGGAAGGCGTACCTGCCCAAACTGTCAAATTGATAGTGGGTTGATATAGGTTATCTTCTTTGACAATGACTTGAAGGAATTTTTTGAAATTTGGAACACATACCGTTGTGTGAGTGAGTATGGTTTTATGACGCTTTTAGCAATATTCCAGCAATATCACGGCAGGGGACACCAGAAATGGGCTTCACACATTGTAGCCATGTCGGGAATCAAAACCGGGTCTTCAGCGTGACAAGCGAATGCTTTAACCACAAGGCTACCGTACCACCCTTTGGAGACTGAGAGCCATCCTGGACCTTAGAGGGCCTTGTGCCTTTGAAGATAAATGTGAAACATTTGCTCAGTGTTACCTGATACCCTTTACACCCCAATTAGTCTATAAGTAGCAAATAAGATAATAGTCTATAAGTAGCAAATAAGACGAAAACTTGACCCGGATACTATAGGAGGTTGCTGAGAGCACAACATAGTTTGTAGCACCTCAGAATTTATACGTTTGCCATAAGATTTACCACATGAACATGAAAACTTGAAACCTATGTTACAATGGTGTGTTTTTTAAAGAACTGTAACTGGTGATTACAGTACACTTTATATGAGGAAATTAGTCAATTATTTTTATGGTTTGGAAAATGTCACTGTCCATTTTGAAGATAGTGTTGAAAAATAACCATGCATGTGTAAGTGCATGATTTGTGACACTTTTTCACTGGTTTGATACAACCAAGTTTCACATCCATATAACTAATGATGCAGGGACTGTCACTCAAAAGTTCATGAACATGTCTAATGACATTTGTTTAGTGTGAGAAAAATTGCATATTGTGTATTAACCATGTCACAATATCACCATATTTGGCGAGAAAATGATGTGCGAAAAATGCAATTTCTCCAATTGCGTTTATTGTTCACATTATGGTACTCGTCTCATTTATTTTGTCATGAGGCTTTTCTTTTTTTACAATATTAGCTGATCTATGTAAACAATGATGAAGCTGTATTTTCATTTCATTTCAGCCTTTGAAATTGATAGACAGGACAAAAGTTAAAAAAAACCTTATTTACGTGCTGCTTTTGATGTTTTGAATACAATATTTTCATTAGCGATGTTACGATCTATACAAATCTGCAAAGTTGTATAAACCCATGAGACTTGAACTTTAGGTTTATTGAAGATTTTATTCCATATGGTTCATAATTATTTTGGCGAAATCGTGTGTGAAGTGATTGGTAGTTTGCACACCTCACCGTTGTTTGCAGCAATCACGGTCAGATAACCACTATTGATTCCTTGAGTCGCACTGTACATGCTGTAGTTGACAAATAATGGATACATATATAATTAATGCCATTCTTTGACTTGTAAGAAGTCATATTGTTGTAGTTTGACTGTTATTTGTCAATATAAAAGTTTTACAATCCTGAGTGCGGGAGCCTCGACAGCTACTGGTCAAATTGTTCCATACATAATATCTACCCGGCAATAGCAATCAGCTGAACCAAAGTGCTATGCTTATGGTTATTATTTAGGAGATAACCTACTGTTTTGAAATTTGATGTAGTCCCACTGCAGAGCAGATACCTCTCATGTTAATCTGGAACCTTAGGCTTTCCTCCCACATAAATCTTAGAAGCTGTTGTTTGACTGAAATATTGTTCAAACCAACTCGCTCATTTCTGAGATGCAAAAGTGAATTCATTTGCCAAATTAGTAGTAAACCAAATTCACTGAACAAATATTTTCTATGACTAGGCCTAGTAGCCTAGTACGAAGGACAGTTAATTCATAACTTTATCGAAAGTGTTTTGCAGGCTTTCCTCCCACATAAATCTTAGATGCTGTTGTTTGACTTAAATATTGTTCAAACCAACTCGCTCATTTCTGGTTCTAATGTTTCAGATTTTGTTTAAAGGAAGAAGTTAAGAGGGAAGGAAGGTAACAGTGGAAGTATGAATCCTGAGGACAGTCTGGAGTTGCCAGGGCCTGAAGAGGGGTTGGGCAGACCCATAATCATACAGAGAGACCATGTGTCGCAGACTGTGGTCATGGAGAACCAGTGTCCTCAAGATGGTGTTCTCCAGGGCCAAACCATAGGTGTAACAGCAGTGGACGGAACCAGGGAGATGGTGATGACTGGTGTGACCAGCTCAGATATGTCCCAGGGCGTTGTCGAGGACGACCAGATCCACTACCCCCAGGACGGTGTGTTCCAGGACGAGCCAGGAGTCGTTGTAGAAGAGAGGTCCCGAGAGATGGTGGTCCCGAGGGTGTCGCAGGACATGGTGGTCGACCAGCAGGAGATTGTCATCCAAGACGACACCCAACAGGTGGTGCTGGTCACTGTGCCAGACAGCTCAGGGGGTGACAATGATGGCAATGTGGAGATAATTGTCACCACCTGCTCACTGTCGTCATTAAATGAACAAGTGGCACTGTGTCCTATCAGTAAAGCCGATGAACATTATCAACACATTAACACCATGTCAAGTTCTGATAGAATTCTGCCACAGAGTGTTTGTGAGTACAACAAGGCCATCTTTACCCAGGGCAATCTAAGCTCGAATCATTCTGTGATGGTAGGGACAGAAAGTGGAGATCGGCAGATACAAGAACTGGAAACGTTGCATGGTCCATCAGGTAATCTGTACAACCAACAGCTGCCCAGTACGGTTGTTCCAGCAATTAGTTCCAGCACAGACGATCCCCTGTATGATTCAGCAGTGTCATCAGGCATCATATCCCCAGCATTCCAGTCTGCTCTCAACACTGTATCCTCTACACCAATGATAAGTCTCACTCGCTTCCCAGGGAGCCCCACCAAACACACCGAGGGGGAAGTACTGCCACTGCAGAGTGCCTCTAGCGTTGTGGTTGCCGGGGAACAGACAAGTGTAATCTCCAGTACCAGAATACAGCAGTCATCACTGACATCCGTCTCCATGACGCCACAGGATCAAGCTTTGTATGAAAAACAGGAAACGATGAAGAGTTTAGAGTTAGTTGATGCTCAGTGGAAAAATTCGGTTGTGAACAGTCCTTCCAAATCTGATACAATATTCCTCACAGAAAATACACCTGCTGATGGAGCTGTGTTTGGCTACAAGGTAATTGACATTAATGCAGAACATCCTAAACAAAACATGGAACCACCAGAGCCTAATTCGAAGGTAAAGGAGGAAGCGACCAATAACGTTGGTCCCAAGGTGGATGATAGTGAGACTGGATCTTCTGTGACCGATAATGCTGGGACTGGTGCCAAGACACAGAATACTGAGACTGTCGAGTCCTGCAGTGAAAGTGTTGACACTGGCAAGGTGACAGAGCCGAGGGCGGTGAAGGTGCAGGTGAGAGTGTGTAGCGTGTGTCACACAAGTTTCAGTAACGCAGAGGAGTTTGTGCTGCACATGATGCAGCACTCCTTGTATGACTCGTTCACGTGTGACCAGTGTGGGAAGCGCTTTGTGGATGAGGAGTCGCTGACTCGGCATAAGCTGAAACACAGTCGGAATCTCAGACGGGAGTTCCACTGCAAGGAGTGCAACAAATCATTTACAACTAACACCTATCTCAAGTCCCACATGAGGACACACACTGGTGAGAAGATTCACGCCTGTGATGAGTGTGACGAGAGGTTCACTTTCTCCAACATGCTTCGCCGACATAAATTCAAAGTTCATAAGGATTCCATCCGAGAGTGTCCCATCTGTAACAAGGAGTTTGTGAACAATGTTTTGTTGGTGAGACACTTAGCAGAGCATGACAAACAGCCTGAGACGACGGAGGAACAGGACATGCCGTCAACCGCAGCACCAAGGAAACGGAGAGGAAAAAGAAAGATCAGGAAGACTACAAAAAAGACTTCCGCTAAATTAAAAGTGAAAAACACCATTGCTGGCAATAAACCCCAAACCAGGGGACAAAAGAAAAAGGAAGGGTCTAAAACATCACCAGGTATGGCAGAGATTCCAAAACCACAGCAGTTTTCTTGTATGATCTGTCAAGAGAAATTCCCCTCCAAAATTCTTTTGAAAAAACATGCAAGGACACATTTAGGTCAGAGAGTTTTGAGGTGTGATAAGTGCGGGAAGGTGTTCCAAGACTCCATCAAGCTGAAGATGCATAAGTTGTCCCACACTGGGCAGACTTTCACGTGTGGCTTCTGTGGGAAGAGTTTCAGCTATGCCTCCACTCTCACCATGCACAAGAAGCGCCATGCGCAGGAGAAGGGCGTTCAGTGTAACGTGTGTGGTAAGAGATTTGCTACAGCGGATGTACTGAAAACACACAAGACAACTCACACAACCATGAAGGCGTATGTCTGTGATGTGTGCGAAAAAGCGTTCACCAGTCAATATTACTTGAAAGCTCACAAACGTATCCACACAGGGGAGAAGCACTATGGCTGTCTGCAGTGTGGGGAGTCCTTTATGTTCTCAACTGGACTCCGACGCCACGTTATCAAGGAACATGGTGGCATTGCATCAAAGAAGACCGAAGAGGCTGAGAAGAAAGATGAGGCCCCGTCTCTCAATGCAGAGGATGACGGCAGTGGAGGTGGGGATGATGACATCGATGAATTCCCCGACTTTTCTTCACAAAATATTCAAGACATGATGATTGGAAAGGATGGAGAAATACTGTCAACCAGTAAAATTAAGGTGGAGAAAGGCATGCTGATGGCTTCCACTAAGGACGAGCATGGGATGCTGGAATGTGGGTGGTGTGGGAAGAAGTTCCAGTCTACCCCAGCCCTCAACACTCACATGAAGGAGCATGTGGAGTTCCCGCACACCTGTCACATGTGCAATAAGACCTTCTCGCGAGAGCTGTACCTCCAGAAACACCTGCAACGCCACAACACTGACCGACCACATCACTGTAATGACTGTGGGAAGAGTTTCCGCAGTGCCAGCTATCTGGCCCAGCACCAACAGATCCACACAGGGGAGAAGAGCTACCAGTGTCAGCTCTGTGAGCAGGAGTTCATCTTCGCGAACAGTCTCCGCCGCCACCTCAAAACTCACACAGACCTCGGCCCCAACACTCAGGGATTGGTCCGGAAGAAAAAGAAGAAGTCGTACCGGCCAGTGAGTGAGATTAGTCAGGAGAATGTGTCCCAGTTGAACTGCACGCTGTGTGGCTACGCCTTCAGGACCGTGTCTCAGGTGGAGGAGCATCTGAAGACTCACTCCGGCGAGAATCCCATCTTTGAGTGTAATGTGTGTAAAAAGGAGTTCAATAGTCATAGATCGCTATGGAGACACAAGCACAGCCACGTGGACAATAAGCCAATCAGTTGTGAGGTCTGTAACAAGTCATTCCGAACCAGCTACTACCTGAAGTCTCATATGAATGCTCACAATGGTGCTAAGCCTTATAAATGTAAGTTCTGTGACTTGCATTTTACGTACGCTAGTACCCGGCGTCGCCACCAGCGTACTCACATTCCAGAAGAGAGTATGAACTTCATGTGTAACATTTGTGGGAAGAAGTTCTATGATCAGTGTGATTTTGACCGTCACATGCTGGGGCATTCCGGGGAGAAGCCATTTATGTGTGATGTATGTGGGAAGACATTTGCCACTAAAGCTCTCCTAAGGAGTCACCTGAACCGTCATAATGGGGAGAAACAGTACAAGTGCCAGATCTGTAACAAGACGTTCCTCTACCACTACCGTCTGAAACGACACATCAAGACTCATAACGCAGTGAAGGCGTTCAAGTGTGACATGTGTGACAAGGGCTTCCTCACCCAGGCGTATCTGTCCACACATCTGCGTTCTCACACCGGCGAGAAGCCGTACAAGTGTGAGTACTGTAATGAGGAGTTCAGCTTCTCCAACACCTTTCGTCGACACAAGCGGATCCACACGGGACAAACGCTCAACTGCTCGGTGTGTGGGAAGATGTGTCTGGAGCTGTTTGACCTGAAGAGACACATGATGTCTCACTCCGACCTGAAGCCCGTCATGTGCGACATCTGTGGCAAGACATTCAGCCACCACAACAGCTGCAAGAGGCACATGAAGAGGATCCACCCCGAGATGGTCCTGCCCTTCACTATATAGAACAGGTGCTTGTAGTAGGGGTGAAACAATACAGCAAGGTCACAGTACGATACATATCATGATACGTAAATCACGATACAATACATATCACGATACGCATAATTACCAGAGTTGAGAATCTGCGAATTTTAGTGACCACAAATTTGTTAAAGTCTGATGGCTTCCCCCATAAACACCCCTAAATTATGGCCCACACTCCATTGCAAACAAGTTTCAGCTGAAAAGGAAAATATCCATTCTCATCCCCGAATTACTTCAAATTGCATTGGAAATTTCTTACTATAAATATTTCAGAGCAGGTTCAAAAGGAAAAGCTAGCTGTAGCTACATGTTCATATCAGCTATTTTTAGTAGTGAACTTGAAACGCTAATTACAACACATTTTGGGATATTTGACTGACAAAAATGCGGAGGTCAGTAAGTAGTAAGTAATTGATTTTAGCAAGTGTATCATCTTGTATCAATATATAAAAAATCATACCATGTATTGTATCGTCGCATGAAAACTCACGGTGCATCGATGTATCGTTTCACCCTTAGCGTGTAGGGGTGTCAGCATACATCCAGGGATCTACCTGGGTCGAGATATATACCAGTGTACAATGATGTTTGTATGGGTGTCACCCTTCACTCACTCATCCAGAGATTTACTGTTTCGACGTAATAAGCACCCACGTAATATAATGGCTAGTGAACAATCCCAATTAGCACCCCTTCCGATTGATCAATGTACACAAGACTTATTTATTCGCGTATAATACGCACTCGCGTGTTATATGCACCCTTGATTATGGGCAATTAAATTCTGGAAAAATATATCTGTCGTATATAAACATTTCAGGCTGTCAGCATAAACCACAAAATTTAACCTTGATCTCTGTTTTTTTTCACCAAAATAATATTCTAATAAGAGCCCCCTATTTCTAAATTTGAGAGCGACCTGGGCGTTTATTACGTCAAATACGGTATATGACCTGTATATTCACATGTTCTGGGGACTCTCGGTAACACATTGTGTTGGTCCCAAGCATTAGGTTTAGATACCAGGGTAACCACAGTACCATCAACCTATGACATACAGTGTGCGGTGCCACATGCTTATTATATATGGGGATTTCCTGTGGGAATCGATTCTTTGTGAAGAAAATCTGCCATGAAGTGTCCGATCAGTGGCTATTTATTTATTTTAGAACAGAAATATCAGATAAATCATGCTTCAATGTAAATAGTTTCAGTTTTTCCATCATCTGAAACCTTTTGACTCACAGCGTATATTTTTGGGTCCTAAATTTAATGCAAGAATCCCGCAGTAGTCATGTACAGACAAGACCGTAGTTAACTTATTTTGACAGGGGGAACTTGTACTTTCCTGATTCAAATAAAACTGTTTTCTATAAAAACTCCAGGGGAGCAACTGCTCTCTCTCCCCCCCCCCCCCCCCCCCCCCCCGGCTGGCCATGGCACTGACAGACCTGGCATCATTCAGACACATTAATCCCATGAATGAATTGATTTATATCTCAATTCATTTTTCAAATTTTGTGATAACCCTGTGATAATTTCTCTGGCTTGTTTTATTTAACCGCCTGTATCAATGCCTGACCAATAACTTTAACTGCCCTTGCTTTTAGAATGGTACTTTATGATTCCAAAGTTAGTTCACATTTGCAGAAAACAGGGCCCCAAAGATGCACCTGCAAGCTAATGTCAGCGTGTGTACTTTATAGTTCACCAATTTCAAGCTTTTAAGAAAGTGTTCGTATATGATATCCTTTTCAGGATGGTAATGTTTCAGGATAAGTCACTTGTTACCTTTTCACACAATGTTTCCAGTGACTTCAGCTTATCCTCACGATGTTTAAAAAAAATGTACAGACTTCTTTAATATTCAAAGCTTCTCGAAGTCCTTCCACTTCATGTATCTCCGTCAAGTGTCAGAATACTTAAGAAATAATAAAACTGAAGATGTGAAGGATGGGATGTTGAGGGTAGTCATGTGTTTTGTTGAAGATATAGGAACCTTTACTGGAACATGGTATTTGAGTGTATTTGAAATATACCACTAGACATTTCACGGGTTTGTATACGCTATGTTGGGACTAGGGCTGGCTATCGACATGGATTACAGAGATCGATAATCACTAACTAAAGTTTGATAAATATTGGAGAAGTAACTTTAAACAATATGCAAGAAAATCCCAAAAGAAATCAACATGTTTCTCGCTACTGTTGAGCAGTGACACATTTATGCATGGATTACTCTGTGGACGTTTGAGATATAACAAAAACAGTTGCTTTCCATCTTCGACAATTGACATCATTGACAATAACAAGTCTGTTTCGGTAAATCTAAACTTTATTTCATCTCAATAGTTTATGTAAGTTAATGTCGATGACAACAATTTCATTATCAATCTTTGTAGCTAGCCCTAGACGTTCCTCCTTTCTCCTTGTCAGTGGAATCAGATCATTAATTGATAGGTTGGTTGAAAGTAGCGACTATCCTGTCAAATGGACGTATGTGTTCATGGGTGATGGACAAATGTAAGATGTACAAATCCATGAAGCATTGACAATAATCACAGGACAGTGTCATGATGTCACCGTACCCTTACAATGTAGTACGTTACCCATATCATTAATTGATTTTCCTCATCCAGATCAATTATTTAAATGTTGCTGGCACATAGCAGGACTATTGCTGAGTGCAACATTAAACAATGCAAAAACAAAATGTATGAAATATTACATGAAGCAACTAGGTAGAGATAAGGTTGCTTGTGGATGTTAGCATTGGCTTGTGGTCTTGTCTATGTTCATGGGTGTCAGTTAGTGGTGGTCACTGATGCATCGGTGGATCGTGATTTTTTACTTCTTGATTCAAGTATCGACCTCAGTCACACACTAAGTAAAAAATATTGATTCTTACCTCATAATTATGCTTTGATAAATGTTACACTAAACACTAATTACTAGTGAAAATGAGTAGTGAAAACGTACGTGTTCATCCATTGTGCCATACTTGACACTACAAGGTGTATATCGTTAGTGTCCCAGGTATTTGGCCGTCCTGTCTATGAAAAAGATGGCTTACTCACCACAGATAAGAGCACATGCAAGTATCATGATATGTATCGGATCGTGAGCAAGGTATCGTGATGTGTATCGGATCGTGAGCAAGGTATCGTGATGTGTATCGGATCACACAGTTCATGTATCATCCCAGCCCTATTATCAGTGTGACATTTATCCATGGAAAGCAATTATACATTCTTTGATTTAATGGTTGCTGCTAAGTTTCTCAGATAAACGGACATAATTAAACTGAATGGTTTTATGTTCACAGTGCAGAGTTGTGTCCCTTAGCTGTGTCAGAATCTGCTGCTGGTGGCTCTAATCCCACATTCATCTTGCTTATTATTCTTCGCCTGCTGTGAACATGGGTCGTCATCTGGGACCTGTGTCACTTAAGCTGACATGCTGTGATATAACTGAAGTACTGCTAGCCACACCCACCCAGTCATTACTGAACTGAAGACTTGTGAATTGAAGTATCTGATAGTTATTATTCTTGTCATGTGTTCGGTCAATCATTTCCTCATAGCAGGTGTGGGCGGTCGGGTAGCCTAGTGGTTAAATGTTTTGCTTGTCACACCGGAGACCCAGGTTAAATTCCCAATATGGGTACAATGTGTAAAGCCCATTTCTGCTGTCCCCACCTTGATATTGCTGGAATTTTCCTAAAAGCAGCATAAAACCATACTCACTCACTCACTCACTCATAGCAGATGATGTTGTAGCCAAACCAACCTTAGTGACTTGTAACCTATGCAGTTGAGTGATACATGTTTTTTAATGTAATCACCAAGCAGTGTTAATTTTCAACAATTTCTGCCTTCTCATGTTCATATGTGTTATTTTCACCTAGTGAATACGTCAGATGCACAATTAGATAGTGTGTTATAAATGAGAATATCAACATATCTGGGGAGGTAATTGTAGGTTACACAGGAATCCCACGGACATTTGAATCAGTTGTTTCTGAGAATTTACTGTTCAGATCAACATAAATGTTAAAGCCCTCTGTTTAGAAATTAGAAATGGGTTGTAACACTTTGCTGTGATTTGTTATGTGGAGATGACTGTTCATGAGTTTTACCAGGCGACGACAGCAGCAGCAGCACATGAAGACTGTGATGAGGCAAGCTGCAGTGACGTGGCTGCGGCAGTTGTTACTGACTGTGTACCTAGAACTGGAGACTGTGTCAAGCTGATTAGACTTGATCAATATAAATATCTTTGGGGGGCAAGTTGTGCCACATAGGCATGCCAAGATCCCATATTCTGGGTTCAAATCCCAGATTCACAGTGACTATGATCCTTGGTTTGTCAGCACCATGTCCATGCTGATGTTTTTCATTAAAGTGGTAAACTTTCACAACCTGCGGCACTTAATGTTTTCGTCCCTCATTAAGCTGACACACAGTGATGTAGCTGAAGCACTGTTTGAAGTGGCTTGAAAGCTAACTCACTGTCGGGTAGGTCAGTTCAATAGCTTTGTTTAGATATCAAGTGTACGATTAGTTTATTATATCATTACATTATATTGAATTTAAGTCAGTTATTGAAATGTTGTGATCCTTCAACGTCTCACGAAGATATACAGTGTGATGTGTAATTAGCATTTACTGAAATTTTTGCTATCATGTTTGATGATGTATTATCAAATTGTAAATAAAATCCCCATATTTTGAAGTTGTCTCGTCTTGGATTATGCGAAACCTCCACCTCCATGCAGTGTCTCTTCAGGGGAAGAAGCAGATCTAACTTGACATTTGGCACAAAACCTTCAGAAGATCTGTCATGTCAACAACTGGGGCGGTCTGGTAGCCTTGTGGTTAAAGCGTTTGCTCGTCACGCCGAAGACCCGGGTACGATTCCCGATATGGGTACAATGTGTGAAGCCCATTTCTGGTGTCCCCCGCCGTGATATTGCTCGAATATTGCTAAAAGTGGTGTAAAACCATACTCACTCACTCACTTGTCAACAACTTATGGATCTGCACAAAGTAAGAACAAGATTATACCCTGTGTCATTGAAAGAACTATTTTGCTGATGTATGGGTCGACACACAGCAAGACCCCACAGACTGGAGGGTGTAGCTCTTGGTATTACTTGGAACTATGTGACCAGAAACAGACTCAACTGCATTTGAAAAAGACTGCATGTTCCTGAGTTTACAAACAAGGAAATTGGTGCTTTAAACTAAGTGACATTCTTCGACTAAACTGTTTCCCTGACTGCCCCACAATACATCAAATTCCAAGAACCCAAAACAGTTTCATTTTCCCCTACAAACGTGTACCGCCTCTTGGTCAAGTGGATAGAGTGTCTGCCCAGAGAGCAGAAGATCAGTGGTGCTGCATAACACCATTAAAAAGTGGGATTTGTAACCCTGCCTGTCACTTGTTCAAGTGGGGAATCCATGTTAAACTGCTGCATGGCATCTCCGTGGGCATGCTATAAAACACAGTAGGTCAGTGTAGAACAAGCAAGCAGACACACACATGAACACACACGCCCGTCGCTGAAAAAGTAATAATCTTAAATGATAAGTTAAACCCAATTTTACCACCTCACTTTTACCTTGATCAGCTGATCATGTCAATACTTAGGATGTGACACTTAGCTTCATCCCCTGTACATCTTATGGCGAATACTTTCAAGCAACTAAAGAAGTGTATCTCGGCATCAAAAACATTGGATATATTAGTAGAAAAGACTAAATCCTTTTTATTTGTCTATAAGAAATACATCTCCCAAGTGATGAAAGAAGATTACAAAGCACTAGTTATAAACACTTATAAATTAACTTCGGGATCGGGTGGTCAAGCTCACTGATTTGGTTGATGCATGTCGTATCCCAACTGCGTGGATCGATGCTCATGATATCAATCACTGGATTGTCTAGTCTAGAAATGATTATTTACAGACCGCCGTCATATAGCTGGAATATTCCTGAGTGTGGCGTTAACCAACCAACCATCAACACCACTCACGTTACAGTTGAGCGTGTTATTGCGTCAAAATGACATCTATGGCTGATCCTGAGACCGGCCTCACGAATGCTGTTCTGCACTGCATGGACAAATCCAATTCTGGAATTGATGCCATTGTAAGGATTTCCTGTTTTACACCTTTGTTGCAAACACCACAGTCGTAGGAAGCAGCCCTGGGCTGCCGTCATAAAACGAAACCAGCCTGACCTTGGTCGGTCACTTGACGTACTCTGCTGTCTGTCTGTACTGATACCAGAATCTGGGAATGATGTGTGTGTGATGGGTTAAGGACATTTTGGGCACACAATCTATAGAACTGTTACAATTTCTTTTAATAGGTAACACTTGAGGTCCGAATATATCAGAAATAAACCTGTCTTTCGTTCAGGTCGTCAGTCGTCCACCGCATCAACAAGACATCTGTCATTTGTCCAAAAATGATGTCTTTCAGCTGACTTTTATATATTGTCATTTGACACAAGACTCCTGTCAGTCGTCCAGGCAGTAAGATACCTGTCATTTGACATGAGACTCCTGGCAGTCGTCCAGGCAATTAGACACTTTCATTTGACACAAGACTCCTGTCAGTCGTCCAGGCAATTAGACACCTGTCATTTGCCACAGGACTCCTGGCAGTCGTTCAGGCGATAAGATACCTGTCATCTGACACAAGACTCCTGTCCAACCTACTGCAAACCATGAAACTAATGCGTCACCAAATGAATGCGCGTATCAAACCCAGGCTTAAAATGCGTCATTGAAATTAATAGGGGTAACCATGTCTTTCAGCTTTAAAAAATAATCCGCTAACGATATCGCCAATACTGTAGACTTGGAATGCCATGATGCAGCATGGTGTGATGGCAGTTCGAGTGACTGATATGATTTGCTATCTTCACAAACTAAACTTCAACTGCTTGACGTGTGATCTAACCTCCATGAAATCAAAGGCAGATGCATGGGCATGCTTGAAACAGGTCAACACGTCAGTTTCCCAACATCTTTGGTGTCAGCCATAGTGTGATCAGAAGGGCATGGAATCGATACCACAAGTTTGGATCAGCCATCCAGCGACATGCAGGTGGTCAACACCATTCCACCACACAGCAGGAAGACAGGTTCCTCCTGATAACAGTAAGACGTCTTCACTTCATGACTGCCACCACACTCGGAAATGACCTGCAGAACGCCAGTGGCGTAAACGTTTCTAAACGTGTGTAATCGTCTCTCCTTGAGTTTAGTCTCGGGTCTCGGAAGGCATGCGTTCGCATCCCACTGAACTGACATCACAGATCACAGGCAGGCAAGTTTGGATTGGGCTGAAGATCACGTCAATTGGTCAATTTTCACTGATGAATCAAGATAGTGTCTGGACACCACAGATCGTCGAGCCCGAGGGTGGGGCTTAAACAAGGAGACATATGACATGATTCCAACATACATGACTTCTTTGGTGGGGGCTCAATCAAGAGTTGGGATTCATTTTTTGGACAATGAATTTCTTTTCATAATTTTGTTTACATTTCAGTTTTGGTCAGATACGCTCATTTTGACGGGTGATTTGACTGATTATTTGTCACATGTTGTTTGTTAGCATGGTGTTCATAATCAGTCTGCACGCAATATTGCCTTTGGCTTTTTCAACAAATACATACTTTGACGTATTACCTTTTAAAGTAGTGATTCTTTGAGTAGTATATAGTATGATACAATAAACAATGGGTATGGAAATATCAAGGGTTGTGTGTGTGACGGATGATCTGACTGATTATTGGTCATAAGTTATTTGTTGGCATTGTGTGGCACATGACAATGGATTCTTGTTCATTTAACGTCTTCACGCAATATCGTCTTTGGCTTTTTCAACAAGTGCACACAATGTGACATGTTACCTTTTAAAGAGATCGTTAGCATACCTTGAGTATCATAATACTACAATCTATGATCATTCACTCGCACATAGGCTAATCATTTGTATTTTACTTAATTTACAACTGATTAAATTATGATTAAGATACGACTGCTGTTGCTGTGATGGACATTTTCACAACGTAGGTGAGCAGCGTTTTGCTTGTCATTACAAGATTGTTTGACAAACTTACCAAGAACAAAGATACCGTCATAAACGGTTTATGACTGTCAGAACTGCTTGAACGTGTTTAAATAAACTGACCATACTTCACAAGGGAACTTGGTGATAAGTAATTCTTAAATCTTGCTCTCAACGGCATTGTTTATTGTGAGGTCGGTACTGTATGTCCTTGTTTCTGCCCATGTTCAGTGATCCTGACATGAGTGAGTATGGTTTTACGCCGCTTTTAGCAATATTCCAGCAATATCACGGCGGGGGACATCAGAAATGGGCTTCACACATTGTACCCATGTCGGGAATCAAACCCGGGTCTTCGGCGTGACGAGCGAACACTTTAACCACTAGGTTACCTGACCCCCTTTCCTGACATGACAAATGAATAAACTCCAATATGTTCAGGTAAAATGCCCCACTTTATTAAAGCCAACAAGGGTCACTCACATTTTTCGCATCAATTAGTGTCCATATGAAACCATCATCATTAGGGGACCATTTCTTTCCCCATTTTTCCTCTGTGGGGGTGCGTGCATGTGTGTCAATTTATGTATTAGTCAGCAATATTTAAGGCTAAAAAAAATATAATAGTCTTGGTGCTTAGGCTATATTTTTTTTAGCCTAAACTATACTCACTGACAAAAGAAACTCAAATACCATAAATTTGGTTAATCCAGGTAGAATTACTCATATTCAAGATATTAGATTGGTTTAACAGGTATGTTGTGTGAACTGATGCTTGTGAACGCATCCCATGTATTTCATAGATCCATGATTTGAGATGCACTATTTGTCTTGTGCAGGATTAGCGTGTAAGGTTTGGAAATCCTGTGCAGCATATTGTGAAGACACTGCGGTAACACTTGACTGATTGTTAGTTTGGATATTAAGTGGTACACATTGGAAACATCTCATCTTAACATACATACTTCTCTATGTTTTCCATGGTTCACATTTCTCTTGGTGTTGAGTATATATTACAGCATCTAACTAAACCAGGGGTTACGTCAAGAGAAGACAGTCGGGTCACAGTGACCCCCAACCAGCAAGGTCACATGTTGCAACCAACTAGTCCGCATCATCTGTGATAAGCATGAAGTATAGGGCCCCGTTCCACAAAGTGCTAAGAGGACCATTGCTAAGAGGACCATTACTAAGAGGACCATTGCTAAGAGGTATTTCTATGAGGACCATTACTAAGAGGACCATTGCTAAGAGGTATTTCTATGAGGACCATTACTAAGAAGACCATTGCTAAGAGGACCATTGCTAAGAGGTATTTCTATGAGGACCATTACTAAGAAGACCATTGCTAAGAGGTATTGCTGTGAGGACCATTACAAAGAGGACCATTGCTAAGAGGTATTGCTATGAGGACCATTGCTAAGAGGTATTGCTATGAGGACCATTACTAAGAGGACCATTACTAAGAGGTATTGCTTTGAGGACCATTGCTAAGAGGTATTGCTATGAGGACCATTGCTAAGAGGTATTGCTCTCAGGACCATAACTAACAGGTATTAGTTAGGTTAGTTAGTTGTTTAACGCCGCACTCAACAATATTCCAGCTATATGACGACGGTCTGTAAATAATCGAGTCTGGACTAGACATTACAGTGATTTACATCATGAGCATCGATCCATGCAATTGGGATCGATGACATGCATCAACGTAGTCAGCGAGCCTGACCACCAGATCCCGTTAGTCGCCTTTTACGGCAAGCATGGGTTGCTGAAGACTTATTCTACCCCGGAATCTTCATGGGTCCTAAGAGGTATTGCTAAGAGGACCATTGCTAAGAGGTATTGCTGAGAGGACCATTACTATGTGGACCAATACTAAGAGGTATTGCTGTGAGGACCATTACTAAGAGGACCATTGCTAAGAGGACCATTGCTAAGAGGACCATTACTAAGAGGACCATTGCTTAGAGGACCATTACTAAGAGGACCATTGCTTAGAGGACCATTACTAAGATGATCAGTACTGCTATTCGTAGACCTATCCGAGTTGTAGCCTGATGGTAGTGATGTGGAATGAGGCCCTCGATACTCTTCTGACCCAGCAAACAAGAGTGCTCTGGGAGCACAACATCCCCTGCATGAATTTTAACGAGTTTATATTTTCTTTGTATTTTATGAAATAACAACATTAGATGGCACTGCATTTGAAACAAATTGTGCAGAACATTTTGTTGGGTTTGGTTTGTTGTTTTACGCCGCACTCAGCAATATTCCAGCTATATGACGGCGGTCTGTAAATAATCGAGACATTACAGTGATTTACATCATGAGCATCGATCCACGCAATTGGGATCGATGACATGCATCAACCAAGTCAGCGAGCCTGACCACCCGATCCCATTAGTCGCCTTTTACGACAAGCATAGTCGCCTTTTACAGCAAGCATGAGTTGCTATTTTTTTTTTTTGGGGGGGTGTGTTTTTTGGGGGGAGTAATCCAGTCTGAATGCTAATGCCATAAGGATGTAGCTCACCCACAAAAGCCTTATACAAGGAAACTAACTATAGTTATAATTATAGTTATAGATAGATATTGTGATATTCTCTGGAAACTGGAGGAGTAGATTTCATGAAGCTCCGTAAAACGGGCAGTAACTCAAAATTTGTCGAAATGAAAAGGGACTGCGATATCAACATGTCGACATCTTGTGTGTAGAGTGTCAGGGATATTCTCTAAAAGCTGGAGGAGGAGTTGATTTCACAAGCTTAGTAACTCTCTCACAATTAGGCAAATGAAGCTCCGTAAAATAGGGGCAGTGCTGTCAAAATTAGTCGAAAAGAAATGGGACTGCAATATGCGTATCATCAACATGTCGTCATCTTGTGTATAGAGTGTCAGGGATATTCTGTGGAAACTGTAGGAGGAGTTGATTTCACAAGCTTAGTACCCTCTCTCACAATTAGGCAAATAAAGCATCGTAAAGCAGGGGCAGTAACTCTGTCAAAATCAGTTGAAATGAAACGGGACTGCGATATGCGTATCATCAACCTGTCGACATCTTGTGTGTAGAGTTTCAGGGATATTCTTTAAAAGCTGGAGGAGGAGTTGATTTTACAAGCTTAGTACCTCTCTCACAATTAGGCAAATGAAGCTCCGTAAAACGGGCAGTAACTGTCAAAATTAGTCGAAATGTAACGGGACTGCGATATGCGTATCATCAACATGTCGACATCTTGTGTGTAGAGTGTCAGGGATATTCTGTGGAAACTGTAGGAGGAGTTGATTTCACAAGCTTAGTACCCTCTGTGGGACGGACAGACGGACGGACGGACGGACGGATGGATGGACTGTGCCACAACATGATCCTCCTTCAGCCATTCTGGCCCAGCGGGGGATAAAAAGGACAACATTGGCAGAAATATGACATAATTTATTATAATGGGATGAGTGACATCAATAATGATGCTTGCAAAGATCTGCCCCATCATGCATACACAGACACACGTCGCACACTCACGCATACACACACACACACACACACACACACACACACACACACACACACGTCACATTTAAACACATCTCGCTCCGAGCCACAGATCTCAACATCCACTTTATAACTTGGTTTTACATTGTCCAGCCATTTCATAATATTAAAACATGAATTTACAAATTGTCAATTAGATTGACATAATTAAGACTATACAGTGACAGAGATTTATGTGAACATACAATTTGTAAACAATTGCATTTTATTTCAAGTGGCACTCATAGGACAAGCCTCCATCAATCAGTCTACAACATATTTGTACATGCATACGTAGCATTTCCTTCAAAGCACATGGAAAAACACACAGATCCAGAGCACACACCCCTTTATCCTAGTCATGAAGTTTACCAATAAGGTTGACATACAAAAAATACTAAATCATTCAGTGACGTTTTCAACATACATGACAATTAATTGACAATTTTGGGGGATACAAACGTTTTTTCTTCTGCTGAACAATTTCCACTAATTTTCTATATTTTCAGTTCACCCCTATCCCCCTTTTCCAAAAATCATTATCTGCACTTTGGAAACAAGCATGCATTGAAGTCCAGCAAACAGTCCCAAGTCCCACATGAACAGCCTCATGCATCACGATACACACAGAATAAATAAACTGCATCAGCAAAAAATGCTGAAGCCAAAAATATAAACTAAATACATGTAAATAAATGGACGGATATATCAAAGACCATAAACAGATTCTTCACAGTTGAAAAATTCTCCACTGTGTGTCTAGGGATGTCAGGATACCTCTTTTTCACCTCTTTCACAATAATTTATCTCCCCATTTAAGAGGAAATTTTAACAAGAAAAACAGTGACATTTTACATTGAGATGCAGTAATTGTTACAGACTTTTGATCTCAACTAGCCACCTTTCAGTACTCAGATGTACTAAAACAATAAAAACAACCATTATAGACAGTGCCATTAGACTGTAACCATGACAACCCTAGTAGACAGTGAGTGTAACAGAGGAGACAATGAGATATCACAGTACATACACCCAATCTTGTGGTAGAATGATATTGTAACAAACTCGTCTAGCGTTGGTTCAATAACACAAAGCAGTGAACGTCCTGCCTCGATGTCCACCACAAACTGACAGAGACATACAGACAAGTTTTAGAAAACATAAACCGTATTCCACCAGAATCAGGAACAAGGGTACCTTCCCAACTGAGCACACACCCAAGTGAGTGGATTGTTTCTCCAGTCAGCAGTTGGACAGCTATGTCGGTCTGTCAGTGTGTGAGTGAGTGAGTGAGTTGGGGTTGATGCCGATTTGAAAAGTCTTAATGTTGGGGGAAAGCCCAAAGTGATGCAGGTCTTAGACGTTTACCACCATGGAGAAACCACCCACGAAGAAAGTGCTGACAGATCATGGACAGACCAAGTCCCCCGAAACTGGGGGGGGGGGGGGCATAATAGTTTGAATGCGATATACTAGAAGCAGCAACCCCAGTACACACTCGCTATGTACACTCCCACATGGGGTATTTACATACTGTACATACTGACTGAAATCTTCACCACAAAAACAAGATAACAGTATATAACTATGAAGGAAGAGCTTGAGTTACATACTCAGGGAGCTGAGAATGAAAAATGACTTTTCACGGATTCGTTATATTAATAATAATTATTGTACACGCTACAGTCTGTACAAAAACAATTGAGTCTTCTAGCCAATACTTGTAGATCAGTAGAACTTGTAGATCAGAAAACTTGTAGATAACAGCTGAAGTATATTGACAAGTAAATCTTACAAGGCCAGTATGCTATGTGCCTTTTACTGTAACGCTATACCAATGTAAATACTGTATTTCCTCAAATAAACGCCTGGGTGTATATTTCTTTCAGACACTCTTGGCAACAAGCGTTTAATCGCAAAGATAATGGAGAGAATTCTGTGCACAAAAACTACCCAATGTTTGATCGAGCCCCCTGTTTATTCAAGACCTTGTGTTTAATCAAGGAAGTATGATTATATTATTCAGAATGCATGTAGCTTAGATTGCAAACTGGCACTATTTGTGAACTATTTGCTTTATATCTTAACACAAGTGAGTGAGTATGGTTTTACACCGCGTTAAGCAATATTCCAGCAATATCGCGGTGGGGGACACCAGAAATGGGCTTCACACATTGGACCTATGTGGGGAATTGAACCCAGGTCTTCAGCGTGATAAGCAAACACCTTAACCACTAGGCTACCCCACCGCTCCTATCTTAACACCAAACCAATGTACATATAATTATTCAGAACGCCATGGCCCTATCATGATGGCTGAGAAAGACATAGTCTCTCTGATTCTTCAAAAGTCTTCGAACTAGAGCATGTAAGTTGGAAATATATCTGTCTTGACATTTTCATAACCTTCATTTCTCTTCCCTCATAGAAAACAACAACACAAATATCCTATTTACATCAGTATACAATTTAGGCTTCAATGTGGTTATCTCATTCCATTCGTGTACCCGTACTGGTCCATGTCACCGTTGATGTAGTTGCCGTACTGGTCCACCATGCCACCCCCGTAGGGCTCCATGCCACGGCCATACTCATCCCCAGTCTGACCATCGTCCACGAAGCCAATGTTTGACTCCGGCCTTGCGTACGGTTCATACTCTCCATCAGCGCTGGAAGGGGAAAACAGCTGATCAAATACTTGGAACACTTATATCATGTTGCAGTGATGTATCAAAGACTTGGAACACTTATATCACATTAACAGCTTACTGTATCAGACAACCCCATCTAGAACTTGGAACAATTATATCCCTGGACAATAACCTGTCTGTTCCACCTGTACCCCTGTACTATAACCTACCCATATCCCCCGTAACACAGTACCCCTGTACTATAACCTACCCATATCCCCAGAACACAGTACCCCTGTGCAATAACCTACCCATATCTCCCATAACACAGTACCCCTGTACTATAACCTACCCATATCTCCCATAACACAGTACCCCTGTAATACAGTACCCCTGTACAATAACCTACCCATATCCCCAGAACACAGTACCCCTGTACAATAACCTACCCATATCTCCCATAACACAGTACCCCTGTACTATAACCTACCCATATCCCCCGTAACACAGTACCCCTGTACTATAACCTACCCATATCTCCCGTAACACAGTACCCCCGTAACACAGTACCCCTGTACAATAACCTACCCATATCTCCCATAACACAGTACCCCTGTACTATAACCTACCCATATCTCCCATAACACAGTACCCCCGTAACACAGTACCCCTGTACAATAACCTACCCATATCTCCCATAACACAGTACCCCTGTACTATAACCTACCCATATCTCCCATAACACAGTACCCCTGTAATACAGTACCCCCTACAATAACCTACCCATATCTCCCATAACACAGTACCCCTGTACTATAACCTACCCATATCCCCCGTAACACAGTACCCCTGTACTATAACCTACCCATATCCCCAGAACACAGTACCCCTGTACTATAACCTACCCATATTCCCCCGTAACACAGTACCCCTGTACAATAACCTACCCATATCCCCCGTAACACAGTACCCCTGTACTATAACCTAACCATATCTCCCGTAACACAGTACCCCTGTACTATAACCTACCCATATCCCCTGTAGTAGTCCACTTTGCCGTTGTACATGCCGCCATCATCGATGTATTCAGGCGTCAGGTGACCTTCCATCATCATTGCGTGATCATAGCCATCTGAAATCAAGGTGTTGACAACATGAAACAAAGGTTTCACTTCTATCAGTTCACATGTACAGTTTGGCTATGTTAGACATAACTAGTTCATGCAAATTGATTTGCCTCGTCTCTTGCATACAGTGTGCAGACTATGGAACAGCTCTGGTCTCAAGGATGTACGTACGGGTTGCATCCATCCTTGGCCAGTCTTGACTCGCCTCCAGTACCGCAGAACAGCTATGGGCACCGTTCCACAAAGTTGTTAAAGTATGGGAGATCACCTTAGAGCTCAGATGGCTTTGTGAAACAGGGCCCTGGTCTGTCAAGGATGTCGGTGTCCTGCCATTCTAGGCCAGCCATCACTCACCTCCAGTACTGTAGAACAGCTCTGGTCTGTCAAGGATGTCGGTGTCCTGTATGTACGGGTCATAGTCATTCTAGGCCAGCCATCACTCACCTCCAGTACTGTAGAACAGCTCTGGTCTGTCAAGGATGTCGGTGTCCTGTATGTACGGGTCATAGTCATTCTAGGCCAGCCATCACTCACCTCCAGTTACGTAGAACAGCTCTGGCCTGTCAAGGATGTCAGTGTCCTGTATGTACGGGTCATAGTCATTCTAGGCCAGCCATCACTCACCTCCAGTTACGTAGAACAGCTCTGGCCTGTCAAGGATGTCAGTGTCCTGTATGTACGGTTTGTAGCCGTTCTAGGTCAGTTATGACTCACCTCCAGTACTGTAGAACAGCTCTGGTCTGTCAAGGATGTCATTGCCTGTATATACGGGTTGTAGCCATTCTAGGTCAGTCATGACTCACCTCCAGTACTGTAGAACAGCTCTGGTCTGTCAAGGATGTCAGTGTCCTGTATGTACGGGTTGTAGCCATTCTAGGTCAGTCATGACTCACCTCCAGTACTGTAGAACAGCTCTGGTCTGTCAAGGATGTCAGTGTCCTGTATGTACGGTTTGTAGCCATTCTAGGTCAGTCATGACTCACCTCCAGTACCGTAGAACAGCTCTGGCCTGTCAAGGATGTCGGTGTCCTGTATGTACGGTTTGAAGCCATTCTAGGTCAGTCATCACTCACCTCCAGTACCGTAGAACAGCTCTGGCCTGTCAAGGATGTAGGTGTCCTATTTGTACGGGTTGTAGCCATTCTAGGCCAGTCATCACTCACCTCCAGTACCGTAGAACAGCTCTGGCCTGTCAAGGATGTCGGTGTCCTGTATGTACGGGTCGTAGCCATCCTCCTGGTACAAGTATTGCTCATTGAAGTCTTCCAGCTGTCGAGTCTCCACCATCTCCAGCCATTGGGAGTTGTGCCACCGGAACTTCTCCATCTGGATCTTTTTGGCCCATTCCTCATCATACTCCTGGAACATCAGCAGATGAGTGAATGAATAGGGTTCTAGACTACAATCCGGAGGGTCGGGTAGCCTAGTGGTTAAAGCGTTCGCTTGTCACACCGAAGACCCGGCATGGGTACAATGTGTGAAGCCAATTTCTGGTGTCCCCCGCCATGATATTGCTGGAATATTGCTGACTCACTGTACCACCGTCCCTGACACGGCATGGGTTCCCTGCCATCTCTGGGCATAAATAAGTTGTCACATAAAGGCAGCGTTTCGATAGATCCTAATACTGTTGTCAAGCAATGGCATACCTTGGTTGACAACAGCATTAGGATCTATACCAAAACGCCGCCTTTACAGTAAATAAAGAAGTTGTTATCCATTAATTGTGTCTACTTTGTCATCCGTCAACTTCTAAGTAATGCTTATCAAATAATACATATCACAACATTTGACAAATCCATTTCTCCTCCTAAAACTCACATCACACTTTCAGAATGAAACAACTCCTCTGTAACCCTTACAAACCCTCAAAAGACCACTCAAACCCCCCCAACTGTCTTCCAAAAATTCCCAATAGAACACCAAAAAACTATGAAGTCCTCCTTAAACCCAGTCACCTTCAATACCTAAACTTAATCACCCTCCCAAAGACTTCCCCAAGTCCATTACTCTATCCTTTTTCTAAAAGCACATAGCTAAAACCACATATTCCTTGGTGACTGAACTTACTGAGATCATGTCAAGGGTGTTATCACAAACTTTGCGGATTTCCGAGTTCTTGTCATGCATCAGGTCAATCAGGTAGGCAGGAGCTTCTGGCACGAGTTAAGGCAAATATCAAACAGTACACCTGTACCTATAGACATAGGCACCAAGTGGGCATTTCTGCAAAACATTCATGAACTATAGCGGGAACTGATATAAGTTATTGATTATTCATTGATCTAGCGTGGTCGTTTACTGATTTCACAATTTAGTCTTGCACGCACTGACTTCTAGGTTAACACTTGCATTTTAATTTGGAACTCCACTTGTAGAAATTGTTCATGAAATTAACACTACATTGCACAGCGGACTGGACAAGGATACGTGTGTCTCGAATGATTATCTCTCGTGTGATTGCGTGGAAGATCATCTGGTAGAAGACGTACACAATCTGACACACCACTTCATCATCTTCTTGCTTGGCTGAAATGGAAAGTAATCAAGGTAACCAAGGTAACCAAGGTAGTCAAGGTAACCAAGGTAACCAAGGAAATCAAGGTAACCAAGGTAATCAATATTATAAAGGTAATCAAGGATATCGAGGTAATCAAGGTAGTCAAGGTAACCAAAGAAATCAAAATAATCAAGGTAATCAAGATAACCAAGAAAACCCAGATAATCAAGGTAATCTAGGCAATCAGCAGCTGTATGATGTCTTCCTGTATTTATCAACTCACCATTAAGCAGTTCTATCAGCAGCTGTATAATGTTGGCCTGTGCCAGCATCCGGGCGCACGCGTCGTCCTGACACACCGTCCCCACCAGGATGATCACCTCCAGGACCACGTCATCTTCCGCAGCACCTTCCAACACAAGTAATATTGGCTTCAATCCTATTCTTTCTACCCTAACATCATGGCAAATTTGAATGTCATACATTTTACAGTCACAAGTCTCTCACAGACCCTGAATCTATGTTTAGGGTGGTGTCTAGGGTTGGGGGTGTCAGCTGTGTGGGTTGTGCTGTCACAAGTCTCTCGCAGACCCTGGGTCTATGTTTAGGGTGGTGTCTAGGGGTAGGGGTGTCAGCTGTGTGGGTAGTGCAGTCACAAGTCTCTCACAGGCCCTGGGTCCATGTTTAGGGTAGTGTCTAGGGGTGGGGGTGTCAGCTGTGTGGGTAGTGCAGTCACAAGTCTCTCACAGGCCCTGGGTCCATGTTTAGGGTGGTGTCTAGGGATGGGGGTGTCAGCTGTGTGGGTTGTGCAGTCACAAGTCTCTCGCAGACCCTGGGTCTATGTTTAGGGTAGTGTCTAGTGATGGGGGTGTCAGCTGTGTGGGGAGTACAGTCACAAGTCTCTCACAGGCCCTGAATCTATGTTTAGGGTAGTGTCTAGGGGTGGGGGTGTCAGCTGTGTGAGTAGTGCAGTCACAAGTCTCTCACAGGCCCTGGGTCCATGTTTAGGGTGGTGTCTTTTGGGTGGGGGTGTCAGCTGTGTGGGTAGTTCTGTCACAAGTCTCTCACAGGCCCTGGGTCTATGTTTAGGGTGGTGTCTAGGGGTGGGGGTGTCAGCTGTGTGGGTTGTGCAGTCACAAGTCTCTCGCAGACCCTGGGTCTATGTTTAGGGTAGTGTCTAGGGGTGGGGGTGTCAGCTGTGTGGGTAGCGCAGTCACAAGTTTCTCACAGTCCCTGGGTCCATGTTTAGGGTAGTGTCTAGGGGTGGGGGTGTCAGCTGTGTGGGTAGTGCAGTCACAAGTCTCTCACAGTCCCTGGGTCTATGTTTAGAGTGGTGTCTAGGGGTGGGGGTGTCAGCTGTGTGGGTAGTGCAGTCACAAGTTCCCACAGGCCCTGGGTCCATGTTTAGGGTAGTGTCTAGGGGTGGGGGTGTCAGCTATGTTGGTAGTGCAGTCACAAGTCTCTCACAGGCCCTGGGTCTATGTTTAGGGTGTTGTCTAGGGGTGGGGGTGTCAGCTGTGTGGGTTGTGCAGTCACAAGTCTCTCGCAGACCCTGGGTCTATGTTTAGGGTAGTGTCTAGGGGTGGGGGTGTCAGCTGTGTGGGTAGTGCAGTCACAAGTTTCTCACAGTCCCTGGGTCTATGTTTAGGGTAGTGTCTAGGGGTGGGGGTGTCAGCTGTGTGGGTAGTTCTGTCACAAGTTCCTCACAGTCCCTGGGTCTATGTTTAGGGTAGTGTCTAGGGGTGGGGGTGTCAGCTGTGTGGGTAGTGCAGTCACAAGTTTCTCACAGTCCCTGGGTCTATGTTTAGGGTAGTGTCTAGGGGTGGGGGTGTCAGCTGTGTGGGTAGTTCTGTCACAAGTCTCTCACAGGCACTGGTCTCTTGATTAGGGTGGTGTCTACGGGTGGGGGCGTCAGCTGTGGGTAGTGCTGTCACAGGTCTCTCAAAGGCCTTGGGTCTATGTTTAGGGTGGTGTCTAGGGGTGGGGGTGTCAGCTGTGTGGGTAGTGCTGTCACAGGTCTCTCAAAGGCCCTGGGTCTATGTTTAGGGTGGTGTCTAGGGGTGGGGGTGTCAGCTGTGTGGGTAGTCCTGTCACAGGTCTCTCACAGGCCCTGGGTCCATGTTTAGGGTAGTGTCTAGGGGTGGGGGTGTCAGCTGTGTGGGTAGTGCTGTCACAGGTCTCTCAAAGGCCTTGGGTCTATGTTTAGGGTGGTGTCTAGGGGTGGGGGTGTCAGCTGTGTGGGTAGTGCTGTCACAGGTCTCTCACAGGCCCTGGGTCCATGTTTAGGGTGGTGTCTAGGGGTGGGGGTGTCAGCTGTGTGGGTAGTGCTGTCACAGGTCTCTCACAGGCCCTGGGTCTATGTTTAGGGTGGTGTCTACGGGTGGGGGCGTAAGCTGTGGGTAGTGCTGTCACAAGTCTCTCACAGGCCCTGATCATGTCAGGGGGATTGGACGGGATGCCATGTGGGACTAGGGCCATGTGGGTAGTGCCATCACGTTACAGACATCCTGGGTACATGCTAAGTTTGGGCTTCAAGGGGCGGTGGGAAGTGATGTCTCACACAAGTCTGTCAGCCACATCCTTCTTGTCCCCAACAACTCTGAACAACTAACTGCCGACTGTACCTGGCTGTAGTTTACACTTGATCCAGGGAACCAGCTGGTATTCCTTCAGTATCAACTCGTAGTCCAGGTCGATGATCGTCAGATTACCCAGAATTCCCAAACATTCCAACTGATAGTCGTCATCACCACCGTCTGCTAGAACCGCCTCACACAAGTCCCCAATGTACTCCTGAAAATACATAGTTACAGGTGGAAACTCTTCTGTGCCCATATGCAAAGTTACATATCCTAGTAAGGAATACCCCTTAGTATTCTGGCTTTGTAGTATTCCAGACAACTGGCTTTGATTGTACAGTTATTGATCTACCCATGAGCTGTGACGAGCAAGCTGGGCGACACAAATATTTTCTGTATACATTAGGGCTGTTATGATTCACTCGCGTATTCAGTGAATCGAACCGTATCCATTCATGAATTGAATTCGTTATTCGTGGCCACTAGAGTCAAATATTTATGAATATGCAAGCATATGCATTTACATAAAAAAAATACCCATAAGAACATATTTTATGCATAGATTTCTTCATAAGACAACACTCTTATACTATTTAATTCGACAGTATTGTGGTCACTGGTCATTGTTGCATTTGAGCAGATACTAGTACCTGGATAAATGCAGTATATAAATGAATAATATATTTAATAATATATCAAAAATTGACAAACCATGTCAAATAATTTATGTTGTTGTTGCCTCACTGAACATGCTGAATATGACAAATGATACATCAACTGCTGACTTGTTATTGTCTTCGTGAATTATTATTCGTATTCGTTACCCTATATTCATGATACAAATCGTATTCGCCTCAAAGTGTATTCGTTGCACCCCTAGTATACATGGAATAAGATCCATACAAAATGGAGTATGTCAGTTCACAATAAACTATTTCACAAACTCTAACAAGAACATAATAAGCATGATAGTCTCAGAAAACAGCACATGTGAGTTCAGAAACATAGCTAGCGATTGCTTCTATCCTTTCCTACTCACCACAAACAGGTTTTTTGTAGCTCCGTCATGCTGAGATATATTTCGGATCATCTTCATCACAAGCGGATCCTTGAATTTGGAGGCTCGCTTCATCAACATTCTCAGCCCGTTTCCTTCACAGATGAGTCCGGCTGTCCTCTTATTGGCGGCCAGGTTCACGCACAGAGCAACGAGTTCCGGGTCGGGGTTCTCTGGGCTCTCCAACAACAGCTTCATCACCTACACACAAACAGAGAGCAATGGGTTGCGGGTGAGGGATCTCGGGGCAACTTCATCACCTACACACAAACAGAGAGCAATGAGTTGCGGGTGAGGGATCTCGGGGCAACTTCATCACCTACACACAAACAGAGGGCAATAAGTTCCTGGTGGGGGATCTCGGGGCAACTTCATCACCTACACACAAACAGACGGTGATGAGATCCGGGTGGGGGATCTTGGGGCAACTTCATCACCTACACACAAACAGAGGGCTATGAGTTCCGGGTGGGGGATCTCGGGGCAACTTCATCACCTACACACAAACAGAGGGTGATGAGTTCCAGGTGGGGGATCTCGGGGCAGCTTCATAACTAACCTACACACAAACAGAGAGCAATGAGTTCCGGGTGGGGGATCTCGGGGCAGCTTCATCACCTACACACAAACAGAGGGCAATGAGTTCCGGGTGGGGGATCTCGGGGCAACTTCATCACCTACACACAAACAGAGGGCTATGAGTTCCGGGTGGGGGATCTCGGGGCAACTTCATCACCTACACACAAACAGAGGGTGATGAGTTCCAGGTGGGGGATCTCGGGGCAACTTCATCACCTACACACAAACAGAGGGTGATGAGTTCCAGGTGGGGGATCTCGGGGCAGCTTCATCACCTACACACAAACAGAGGGCAATGAGTTCCGGGTGGGGGATCTCGGGGCAACTTTATCATCTTCACACAAACAGAGGGCAATGAGTTCCTGGTGGGGGATCTCGGGGCAGCTTCATCACCTACACACAAACAGAGGGCAATGAGTTCCGGGTGGGGGATCTCGGGGCAGCTTCATCACCTACACACAAACAGAGGGCAATGAGTTCCGGGTGGGGGGTCTCGGGGCAACTTCATCACCTACACACAAACAGAGGGTGATGAGCTCCGGGTGGGGGATCTCGGGGCAACTTCATCACCTACACACAAGCAGCGGGCAATAAGTTCCAGGTGGGGGATCTCAGGGCAACTTCATCACCTACACACAAACAGAGGGTAATAAGTTCCAGGTGAGGGATCTCAGGGCAACTTCATCACCTACACACAAGCAGCGGGCATTAAGTTCCAGGTGAGGGATCTCGGGGCAACTTCATCACCTACACACAAACAGAGGGTAATAAGTTCCGGGTGGGGGATCTCGAGGCAATTCATCACCTACACACAAACAGAGGGTGATGAGTTCCAGGTGGGGGATCTCAGAGCAACTTCATCATCTACACACAAACAGAGGGCAATGAGTTGCGGGTGGGGGATCTCGGGGCAGCTTCATCACCTACACACAAACAGAGGGTGATGAGTTCCAGGTGGGGGATCTCGAGGCAATTCATCACCTACACACAAACAGTGGGTGATGAGTTCCAGGTGGGGGATCTCGGGGCAACTTCATCACCTACACACAAACAGAGGGTGATAAGTTCCGGGTGGGGGATCTCGGGGCAGCTTCATGACCTACACACAATCAGAGGGCAATGAGTTCCAGGTGGGGGATCTCGGGGAAACTTCATCACCTACACACAAACAGAGGGCAATGAGTTGCGGGTGGGGGATCTCGGGGCAACTTCATCACCTACACACAAACAGAGGGTGATAAGTTCCGGGTGGGGGATCTCGGGGCAGCTTCATGACCTACACACAATCAGAGGGCAATGAGTTCCAGGTGGGGGATCTCGGGGAAACTTCATCACCTACACACAAACAGAGGGCAATGAGTTCCAGGTGGGGGATCTCGGGGAAACTTCATCACCTACACACAAACAGAGGGCAATGAGCTCCAGATCGGGCCTGGGGGGTGGGATTACTTCATCACCTGCACACAAACAGATGAAAATGAAGGGAAGCTTCATCACATACAGTGTGAAAGGGTGTCTCAATTTATGTACATATGGGCAAGAACCAGTGGTTCATTACTCAAGCAGTGCAAACCATCACTTATTACTCAATCAGTGTGTCACTGTAACAATCCAATACAAAGCTCTTACGACAATGGATAGTAGGGACCCATCTTGCATCGACTAAAGAAGACAAGATGAACATACCATAGGAATACAGTCCGTGTAGGTGAACATAGACTTGGCTTTCTCCTCCATACTGATGTGGTACAGGATACAGAGCACGATCATTTTGTGGTTTTCATTGTCTGAAAAGTTAATGTAAGATTGAATGACGGTCACAGAAATAATAATGTATTTAAAATGATGAACTAAACAGAGAAACGATATACCTCACAAAGTGAGTGAGTGAGTATGGTTTTACGCCGCTTTTAGCAATATTCCAGCAATATCACGGCGGGGGACACCAGAAATGGGCTTCACACATTGTACCCATGTCGGGAATCGAACCCGGGTCTTCGGCGTGACGAGCGAACGCTTTAACCACTAGGCTACCCGACCGCCCCTACCACACAAAGAGCAATTGGCACCAATGTTTCTTATCTACATATGATTCATGTTTGGAGTATTTTGACCCACAATCAGCCAGATCTCGCATTGTAACCCCCCAATCCTCATTCATCATCTCTCACAACAAGCAAGGTCATATTCCTCTGTGCACTTCTAGCAGGGTCAGCACGTTAGTTGCGTGATATCCAACTCACTGAGCAGACCCACAAGTTTGGGGAGCAGGCCAAACTTGATCATCTTGCTGCGGCAGTCGGTGTCGAAGGAGAGGTTGAGGAGGAGGCGGAGGGTGATGTTGAGCAGGTCCTCATGGTCGCATGGCACTAGCTTCGTCAGCTTCTCAATAATGTTCTGCTCTGCCTGGAAACATGCAAGTACAACTCAATGACTTTAGCCACTTGTCCAAAGTCTGTCAGGTAAAATATATTTGGTCGACCTCAGCTAATAACAGTTCATACTTTAAGACTAAATTCTGGTGAAAACTCTCTGAAGGACAAGTTCAGGCCAGTAGACAACAAAGTCTTGGTCACAGACTGGTAAAGGAATATCTACCATCTCCATGCTGTTATCAACAAAAAGGTTCATCTTGTCCAAAGTCCATACTTTAAGACTAAATTCTGATTAAAAGTCTCTGAAGGACAAGTTCAGGCCAGTAGACAACAAAGTCTTGGTCACAGACTGGTAAAGGAATATCTTCCATCTCCCTGCTGTTATCAACAAAAAGGTTCATCTTGTCCAAAGTCCATACTTTAAGACTAAATTCTGATTAAAAGTCTCTGAAGGACAAGTTCAGGCCAGTAGACAACAAAGTCTTGGTCACAGACTGATAAAGGAATATCTACCATCTCCCTGGCGTTATCAACAAAAAGGATCATCTTGAGGCTAAGGACTACCTACCATCTCCTTCTTGTTCTCGATGAAGATGCTCATCTTTTTGAGGAAAGAGACGACGAGAATGAGGAGTTCGAAGTTGGACCTCTCCAGCGTCTTGACCAGCATGCGAACCACGCCCTTGTTCTTCATCTTCATCTCCACCTTCAAGTCCTCCGCCAGGTTCAGCAACAGGTAGTACGCAACTAGAAAATAAAATACCACAGGTTATTTCTCCAAACATCTTCAGTCTTTTTACAAAAATTGGTCTACAAGATTCTGCTGACCTTAAAATAATGAAAAGCAGACAAGTAAGATATTTATCTATACTTATTCTGCCAAAAATAACTTAATAGTTCAACTTAAGAATTGTAATACAACAGGTCAAACTGCAAGACTGACTACACAAACTACCTTCACTGCTTATGTGGCAACATATTCACGTAACTTTATGAACAAAAATATCAAATATCAGTCATGTTTCCCAGCTTTTTTACCAGAATAATTCCACAAAATGAGAAATGAAAGCAGTCTGTCCTAAAACTGACAATGAGAGACAGAAGCTTTTTCATTTTCTTGATGTCTAACAATTGACAGAGAAGCCATTGCCATGGAACAGGAAGAGTTATCTCCACTTGATTTGTTACATCATTTCTGTTTGTTTGTTGTTTAACGCTGCACCAAATAATATTTCAGCTATATGACGGCAGTCGGTAAATAATTGAGTCTAAGAGAAAAACCAGATTTCAGAAGGACAGATGAGAGAAGGATCAGATTAGAGAGGGACCAGATTAGAAAGGTGGCAAATTAGAGGGGGTCAGCTCAGATAAGAAAGGGACAGATTAGAAAGGTGCCAGATTAGAGGGGTTAGATCAGATTAGAAAGGTGGCAGATTAGAGGGGGTCAGCTCAGATAAGAAAGGGACAGATTAGAAAGGTGCCAGATTAGAGGGGTCAGATCAGATTAGAAAGGTGCCAGATTAGAGGGGTCAGATCAGATTAGAAAGGTGGCAGATTAGAGGGGGTCAGCTCAGATAAGAAATGGACAGATTAGAAAGGTGCAAGATTAGAGGGGTGAGATCAGATTAGAAAGGTGCCAGATTAGAGGGGTCAGATCAGATTAGAAAGGTGCCAGATTAGAGGGGTCAGATCAGATTAGAAAGGGTCAGTTTAAAAAGGTGTCAGATTAGAGGGGGTACAGATTAGAGAGATGTATCCTCCTCTCACCTCGCAGCAGCTGCTCTTGTCTCTTAACCAGACTTTCAAACTTGCGGAAACTCTTCTCATAGTCTTCCTTCAGCTTGTAGGATTTGGGGTCAGGTGGAACAGTCAAGGAAATAACTAGTGTGAGGTACTGCAGTAAAAGATCTGATTTAAATGAGACTGAGATAAGCTCCATTGCAATTCTAAATGAGAACAGTGGTCTTACAATAAGTTTGGGATCTTACATCATGCATAATTCACACAACTATCAGCGTTAGAATTTGGCACTAGTCCAATGGTTCTTGCCAAACTGCCCAATAGGTAAGGCATCATAAGGACCAGTAGAAATTTGCTATAGTTAAGGGTTTTGCTATATGTATATTATCAGGAATAGTGGACTAAAACAGTTAGTTTTGTAGAATTTTCCTATTGGGAATATTCTATAAGTAATACGTTACCACTGTTATACCGAGGCTGTTGTCTCCCACAACTGCTCTTATAGTGAAATCTTCCACAGAGATCTCCATTACCTCATGCAGCATGTGCGTAGCCACCTAGCTTCCATGTGACACCCTTCACTCTTGTCTCTTGCGAGAGCAAGTGCTCGGGGGACGGACAGGCGGGCAGCAGCCCAGTGGTAACGTATTACTTATAGAATATTCCGAATAGGAAAATTCTACAAATTACATTAAGTAATACGTTACCACTGTTATACTGAGGCTGACTACCACAGTAGGCGGTGGTTGGCATCTACAACCCGAAACCTGACTGCTCGTGTTCCTTCCGACCAGCGGAAGTATACAACAAGGCGGAAGCACTCGATGCGCATGCTCCCAGCTTGGCGTTACCATATAGGGATACCAAAGCATTGTCAAGCGCATACCGTAAGGCTCAATCGTTATTGCCAAACGATTGGTGACTCCAAACGGCCCCACTGGATAGGTATTTCATTGCCGCAGCGAGTGAGAACACAGTATCCGTGTGAGCTAAATCTTAGATCAGGTTAAACAGTCAAAAAGAGGGAAATTAATTTCATTCGGACCGTATATCCCAAGAACAAGCCTACTTAAGCATGTGTAATAGGCGCGTGACCTAAATTCAATATTGGAAAGCATGCATTACAAGGTTGCAATACACGATAGACAATTAAGTACATAATTGTCAAATCCAAATAATGAAACACACAGAACTCGCAGGACCCCCACTCCCGTACCCACGGCTGTGGGAATGTTGGAGTAGACCCAGATTGACCACCGTGCAAGGTCTGAAGCCTGAGGGGTTCGGGATTGCGCTGGGCACACCCCTTAGATGACCGCTTGTGCCGCGATCAGCGGCCCAAGACGGTGCACACCTTCCACGTCTTCATCAGAGACCTTTCTGAGGTAATGATTGGCAGAAACCGAGTCAGAATGCCAGTAACAACCCTGCTATCTTCTGTGAACAGATATATTGGAGTGTAGGGCAAATGTTGACGCTAGCGCCCTTAACTCGTGAGGGTTTGACCCCGCTACCGGTAACCCCCGAGACCGGTACGCCAGATTGATGACAGAACGAAGCCATAACGCAATCGAGTTGCGAGTTATGTCAGCAGTCCGATTAGGGTTACACGATATGAACAGACGGTCACGTCCTTGTCTGCGTTCAATCGAAGCCTTAAGATAATACTTAAGGGCCCTAAACGGACACAGCGATCTGTCCTCGGTATCAGCAGGATGTAAGATTTCTTTGAGTGATCTTACAGTGAATTCTCTCTCCGTTTGGCCAAATTTCTGATTCTTAGCGACTAAGCCCATGAGCAGGCCCAGGCGGACCGCTCCTTCGTCGCCCCTATCGAATCGTACTTTGGTGACATCGAGTGCATGTATTCCCGACACTCGTTCCGCCGTGGCAAAGGAGAGGAGAAATGCTGTTTTCCAAGTCACATGCCGAAAGAAGCACTACTCAAGGGTTCATACGGAGCCTCCGTAAGTGATTTCAACACTAAGGAGAGATCCCAGGCCGGTGCCCGAAGGCGGCCCTTATTAAGATCCTGTGGCTTGAAACCCTTGATAATACCCCGAGTCACCAGCTCTTTTGAGAGACTGGTACCCATAGCAACGTCTTGTACCGTAGCAACGGACAAAACGTAGTTGGCAATGGAACCCCCAGAGAGTTTCTGGGTCTCTCGTAAGTGAGACATGAAACGAGCAATATCCTGCACAGATACCTTATCTGGCGAATGAATGTGATGTTTACAACACCACTTCGTGAAAATAGCCAAACGTGCATTATACACCTTCCGGGTAGAATCACTATGCATACTAACGTATGCCCGAGACGAGAAAAAACCTTTACTCCTCAGACGCTCGGCGACAACATCCACGCGTGCAGAACGGGGTACCACGAACTGTTCGGCCACATGGGCGCGATCAGTAACATCGACAGCGAACTCCTCGGAGCCGGCTTAGAATGAGTGGTATTAACGCCGTCGGCGGGTAAGCATAAGCGTCCATGCCCGTCCAGTCTAACGCGAGAGCATCGTGATCGATAGCCCTCGGGTTCGGGACTGGTGATACAAACAACGAGTTGATTGTTGAACCTGGTTGCGAACAGGTCGACCATCGGACGACCCAAACGTTCGCAGAGCCACTGAAACACTACTGGGTTAGCATCCACTCTGTAGGGGCTCGGATCCCGAGGCCTCGATAGAGCGTCGGCCAGTATGTTCCGCACACCTGGGATGTGGCGGGCGCGTACCTGGAACAGGACACTGTCCACCAGAGCGTAAAACTCGAACGTGAGATCGAGTAGCGAGTGACTGTGGGTTCCCCCCAGTTTGTTCACATAGGACACTACCATCGTGTTGTCGGTCGCCAGCATGAGCTGGGCGTCGATGAGACGATGCTTCCAGTGATTCACTGCGTTTATCACTGCCTTGGAACTCAAGGCAATTGATGTGAAAACCTAGTTTGTCTACGCACCACAGCCCCGAGCTCCCCTCCCCCTCTAGATTGGCACCCCAGCCCACTAGAGAGGCGTCTGTATACAGGTTCAACATGGCCCGAAAGGGCCGCATAGAGACTCCTGATAAGACGTTGCAAGGGACCGCAAGGGAGCCGATCTGGGAGGGCGACGGACGCACTGTTCTCCTCCTGTGCTAACAACTGGATTAGAAACCGTTGCAGCGGGCGGAGTCAGAGACTACCGCGATTGGTGCATTCCTGGGCTGACACAAGTAGCCCTAACAGCTGTTCCCAAAAGTGAACAGTCTGTTGCACCGCTAAGACTTTGGCAATCATCGCCTGAATCTTGTGCCACCGGTCTGAGGGGAAAAAGAGGGGATGGGTCACCATGTCGAACCGACCTCCGATGAACTTCAAGTTCTGCGAGGGGGTTAACTCGCTCTTGGGGAGATTGACAATCCACCCCAATTGCTCCAAGAGCTGAAGTGCGAAATCGAGTTGGCGTGACAGGGTGCCCGTCATTCGATTGGCCACTAGCGAGTCGTCCAGGTACGCGAAGTACCTGATACCCCTCTTGTGGAGGAACCCCACAATGGGGGTGGTTAACCGGGTGAACAGCCAGGGAGCGGACGAAAGGTCGAATGGGAGTACAACCCACTCGTAGTGCCTGCCTTGAAAGACAAACCTGAGATACTTGTGATAGTCCGAGTGAATCGGAACATGCAGATAAGCATCCTTCAGGTCAATCGAAGCGAGCCAGTTGGCCGGCATGATCAGAGCTTTCAGGTCCACCAAGGTCAACATTCTGAACTTGGGCGGCTTGTGCAGGTAAAACTCGTTGAACGATTTCAGATTGTGAATCATTCTGAGTTCGGCACTGTCCTTGGGAACGAGAATTATCCTGGAGTAAAACCATGGTGTTATTTCTGGTAGGGCTATCTCCCGTACCGCCCTCTTCTCCACCAACCTGCCGATGACATCGGCGAGGATGGGAATATCGGCTTCCGAATAGAAACCTTCCAACAGAGCGACGGATCCGCTTTGAGATCTAGCCGATAGCTGTACCGGATCGTGTTGACCACCCACAGGTCGTCGAACACTTGTTCCCAATTCTCCCAGTAAGTCTGGAGTCTGGCTCCCACTGGGGAAGGAAAGGAAGGCCTGACAGGCTGCGGCAGGCGCAACTGTCCAGCGCTGAATGACTCGGGTTCGCCTACAGCCCAACCGAAGCTGGCGCTGTTGCCACACGAACCCTGCAAGTGAGAGTCATTTGGAGGAGCCCTTCCCGTCCCGAGATGGCTTAGACTTCCCCCAGTGTCCCTTCTACCCACGGAAGGGCGGCATGTTCCCCTTACCGGGGCCCTCAGGGCGGGACCTCTTCCCAGAGGAAGAAGACACCGACCCCTTGGACTTCCCAGCCGCAGCATCCTGAGGGGCACTCCGTTTAGGGGCACCACCCAGGCGTCTGTGCAGAGACCCAACCAGATCCAATGTATACCGCAAAGCCGCGGCAGACGAAGCAGACTGCTGTTTGTTTAGTACTACAGGGAATCGATTATTAAACAGGGTCTGTGCAGACCAAGGCTGCGAAGTAGGTGTCGCCATGTGACATAGCGAGCATGGAGTGCCGAGAGAGGATGTCCATTTGACACCCAACCTCTCCACATGGGCCTCCGCGGTGGGACCTGCCTCAGGGAAGGCCAGGTCATACATCGGGAACAAACCCTTTCTCCATGATGGAGGAGGTAACGGCAGTCCCCGACCGGAGGCCGCCGCGAAGGCTTTCTCCAAAGACGGCTTGATCCGGCGCAACAAAGTTGACGTGGGAAAAGCCTTGGCGGACTCGTCAAACACCTCGGAGGAACCCACAGAGCCGTGGATTCCCCGGGGTACCGGCTGGGGCCATGGCATGTCCTCAAAGAGGTCATATACCATGGCCACACGGTCCTTAGTCAATAACGAGAGTATCGGCTCGGGGGAAGGACCGGTGACTACGGTAGCCGCCGCAGTACCCGTGGACCCCGCAGCCATCGAAGGGGCCGGGGACAGAACAACCAGAGCCTTAACCTGAGATATGGCTGCCAGTTTGGAGTCCACCAGTTGATACAACAAAGACACGACGGAAACCCTGGACAGCCCAAGGGCCGCCAAGTGATCCGCTGCCGTGGAGGTAGTGCCCGCAAGGGCCGCCCGACCGGACAAACCGGCCATCTCAGGGGTGATAGCAGAGCGCACGTAGCGCCTGTATCGCGCAAAGTCCTCTGGCCCCAGACCCTTGCACTGGGTGCACCGGGTGTCCTCGCAAGGGACCCTGCACCGCGGGCAACGATCGTGAGCATCCCGAGAGGACAAAAACTTCTGACAGGCGCCGCAGCTCCTGTAAACAGGAGTAGCGGGGATGCTGGACAAAATATCCATTTCCATGTCCGACATTGTTCTTTGAACAAAAACAAAACATGGTTACAACACACACACCAAACATATTCACAAACGTAGATTTTCCGAAGAAAAACAAACGATAATAGCAAATACATAAAATACATATAATAGATATATATATATATATATTAATAGGTGATGCAAAAAACCACGATATACCACTAAAGCCGGACGGCAGACACAAAGTGCCGACGCCACACCCCGTTAGTAGCAGGGATGTGAGCAGGTTTTGCAGAAAAAAGAGGAAAAGTCTAGGGGGGTCTGGGGGTATGCCCCCCCAGAAATTTTTAAAACATTTGATTGCATTTTAAGCAATTTCATGCAGTTTGGACAACATTCACACCAAGAAATGTAATAAGTCAATGGCAAAAGTCAATAAGTAAAATAAACAAGATGGCAGATGCAGTAAAATTTCGAAGTTAAATCAGTACTTTAAAAAAAATCGGGCATAGCTTTCGCGCACCTGGCTACCCGCCAGGTCTGGGAGCAATACTGCCATAAACTTCAACCCCCATCCCCCAGACACAAGGACAACTGTCACAAGTGTGCAATGTCTGACCCTTTCCCCATGTTGAAGCATATTGAAAAAAACTTACCTTGTACTTACCTTTTGATGAAAAAAACAAAACTCCATTGCAAACATAAGACATTAATACAATATATATCCCCATGACATGGGGTTTTGGACGCTGAAGAAACATTCATAAATTTCTCGCTTATCACATGAACAACTGTAAAACATCTCATTCACTTACAGGCTAAAAGACAACTTTATCTTTAAAACAAGCCATCAGCTGACTCTGAGTATTTACAATTTCTGTGTGACGCCATGCCCCACGTTATAGTGCAAGTATTCGTGACGGAAAACGTATGATGTCCGAAAACCTATGCTGTGAAAGCTCCGATCGAAAACAGGACAATCCGCGCCAATTGTCCGGTTTTCGATCATATTTTTCGGAGTGTTTTTTTTTTTCATTTTTAATATTTTTTTCCGCGGAAGATGATTTTTTCCGAGGACTACTATTTTAAAAAACGCGATTTTCCGCGTTTCCGCGGAGATTTCACATCCCTGAGTAGCGAAAAAAGGCGGGAAAATTTTCTAAGCGCCATATAACAAATGCCCCGTAATTTACAGTTTACTTAGGACTAAGAAACAGTGATAAATATCACCAAGGATAATCAGGAGGCGGAAAACCGTAGAACGCAAGTAGAGCAGTCGATACACGTCTTGCTAAGGCAAGCGAAGAGACAAGAGTGAAGGGTGTCACATGGCAGCTAGGTGGCTACGCACGTGCTGCATGAGGTAATGGAGATCTCTGTGGAAGATTTCGCTATAAGAGCAGTTGTGGGGGACAACAGCCTCGGTATAACAGTGGTAACGTATTACTTAATGTAATTTGTTAGTTTCTATGGCTGACTATTCTCTTGTGTTCAGTCTTTGAAAGGATATCAGCTGTCCTCTTCTTCTGGAGTTCCTCCGTCCAGATGCCATACTTCTTGAGCTCGTGCTCTACGATGGCCATGGAGAGGGCGCCAATCTTAAAGTGGAGGATGACGCCGTGGAACTGGGAGAAGCTGGAGAAGCAGAAGTAGGTGTAGATGATGTTGGTGGCCACCTCCGTACTCTTCTTCCAGTCCTCTCGCAGGACGCGCGCCAGAGCCCCGATCACAGTCTCTGAAACACAAGGTTGTTTGTTTTGGTCATTTGTTGTTTAACGCCACACTCAGCAATATTCTAGCTATATGACGTCAGTCTGTAAATAAGTGATTCTGGACCAGACAATCCAGTGTTTGATATCATGAGCATCGATCCAACCAAATTAGCGAGGCTGATCACCCTATCCTGCTAGTTGCCTCTTATGACTAGCAAGGGTTGCTGAAGACCTGGATCTTCACAGGTCTGGAACACCATGAGAGCCTAGACAAGAATCTTGTGAGAAATACTTCCAACTAAGCACAGGGACATAGTTATTCTTGCTGCAATACACTTTTCAATATTATCAATACCTTTAATATTTCCAATGAGATTAACTAATGATACTGCGTTAATGATAATCCCAAATCAGTCAAATGTGATCTGTGAGTGACCTTGACAAAGAGGCCAATGTCACCATCATCAAGAGGGTCAGACTTTCCTATATGACCTTTCAACCTTACATTGAAATATTTTACTAACAACAAAAATAGTGCCACGGCACCATAGCTCAACTGGAAATGTGTCGAATGTTTAAAGTGTGAACAAAGAGAGCCACTTAAAAAAGTGCCATCAGCATTGCTCCTAAAACATTTTCTTCATAAATACTTTAGAATTGGTCTTCAGCAACCCATGCTTGCTATAAAAGGCAGTTATGCTTGTCGTAAAAGGCAACTAACGGGATCGGGTGGTCAGGCTAGCTGACTTGGTTGATGCATGTCATCATATCCCAATTGCATAGATCGATGCTCATGATGTCAATTACTGGATTGTCTGGTCCAGACTTGATTATTTACAGACTGTCGTCATATAGCTAGAATATTGCTGTGTGGTGTTAAACAATAAACAAAACAAAACAAAACATAAATACTAAAGACAAAAGTATTAACTATCCACAATGTTTCTTTACCTCTATGAATATCTGGAATTCTTGTAACTTCTGTCCCCACCTTTCCTAAAGTCTACGCACAGTAGGGGAGATAACTGTGGCCATCTTCCCCTTTCAACATAACTCACCATTTTGAAAAAGTTCCTCCAAGTTGTCTGGGTTGCGTGACAGCTGCAGTATGAGTGCCGACCCTCGCACCTTGTCTGGAATGTCTTCATACAGCAGTTCTAGATACTCATCTACATCGTTGATGTTGGCAACTTCGTCAATCTCACACCCATCATTCAAGGAGGGTTCTTCTGGTTTGTCAGATAGTTTAGTCTTCCCAGATGCTAGAACATATAATAGCTGAAGGTAATCATGGCAATAACACACACACCAATCACCTATTGGCCAATCACCCAAATGGGGTGTGCTTTGTGGCATATCCTCCCTCTATCACAGGTGCCAATCCCCCTAAATGGGATGTGCTTTGTGGCATATCCTCCCACTGTGACAGGTGACAACCACCCAAATTGGATGCATATCCTCCCAATGTGACAGGTGACAACCACCCAAATTGGATGTGCTTTGTGGCATATCCTCCCACTGGGACAGGTGACAACCGCCCAAATTGGATGTGCTTCGTGGCATATCCTCCCTATGTGACAGGTGACAACCACCCAAATTGGATGTGCTTTGTGGCATATCCTCCCACTGGGACAGGTGACAACCGCCCAAATTGGATGTGCTTCGTGGCATATCCTCCAACAGACACAGGTGCCAATCCCTCTAAATGAGATGTGCTTCGTGGCATATCCTCACACTGTCACAAGTGCCAATCCCCCTAAATGGGACGTGCTTTGTGGCATATCCTCCCAATGTGACAGGTGACAACCACCCAAATTGGATGGATATCCTCCCAATGTGACAGGTGACAACCACCCAAATTGGATGTGCTTTGTGGCATATCCTCCCACTGGGACAGGTGACAACCGCCCAAATTGGATGTGCTTCGTGGCATATCCTCCAACAGACACAGGTGCCAATCCCTCTAAATGAGATGTGCTTCGTGGCATATCCTCACACTGTCACAAGTGCCAATCCCCCTAAATGGGACGTGCTTTGTGGCATATCCTCCCAATGTGACAGGTGACAACCACCCAAATTGGATGTGCTTCGTGGCATATCCTCCCAATGTGACAGGTGCCAATCACCCAAATGGGATGTGCTTTGTGGCATATCCTCACACTGTCACAGTTGCCAATCACCCTATACTGAATGTTCTTTGTGGCATATCCTCCCTCTGTCACAGGTGCCAATCCCTCTAAATGGGATGTGCTTCATGACATATCAAAACACTGTCACAGGTGCCAATCCCCCTAAATGGAATGTGCTTTGTGGCATATCCTAAAACTGTCACAGGTAAGACATAAACTTGTTTTGCAAGGGTGAAACAATACATCAGTGCATCGGTGCACCATGCGTTTTCATGCGACAATACGATACACGATATGTTTTTTTCTGTATCAATGCAAGACGAATCTGCTCTGAAATATTTATAGTAAGAAGTTTCCATGCGATTTGACGATAATATGCATATCGCGATACGTATCACATCATAACCTATGTATCATGATATGTATCGTATCATGACCTTGCTGTATCGTTACACACCTATTGTTTTGACAATTTGTTTATGATTTCTCCTAGTATTACCTTTTGTGGGACTTGACTCCTTCCTGTTCTGCAGATAGTACAAGAGCTGCTCCACCTCGGGCAGCTTACTGGGGTGGATGAGCTTACACTTGTCAATGATCTCCTTCGACAATGTCGTCAAGTCACTGTTGGAGTTGAGGCCCTTCACACGAATACTGCAACCACACAATACATCATGATACATACACTGTATAGACAGCCCCACACAGTACATTACACTATCAGTCAGACATGTTACCATGGTTACATGACTCAAACGACTGCATGCATGGTGAAAATAAATCATAATGCCTTTTAATCTACATTACTTTCCTTAAACATGTGAAAAGTTATTTCCTTCAAAAGATAAAAAAATATGATCTTATATATCTTCATGACAGATCCACAAGTATCCTCCCCTTCCAATATTCATCTACTTGGTGACATTATTGGTATTCTGGAGGCAGATAAAACGATTGCTCTAAAACAAAATTACTGACCATGCTTACACAATTGGGAACATGCAGGTAAATAGGAGGTAAACAATTCAATCAAATGATCCAAGATCTGGAAACTGACATTTTCTGACACTCCTTCCTCTCGCCCAGCATGGGGTCTCCCATCTCCCCCAGGATTGTGGCCTCCAGCTCATAGTTGACCACCAGCGCCTTCTCTGTCGGGTGGACATCGATACTGCCACCTTTCACCTTCCTGCAATCATAACCATACGCAATACTTCCCTGTGTCTTCCCTGCATGTCTTCCCCTAATGGCCAGACAACATGGACAATGATCATTGATGTGAATAAAATCATACAGATAAATGTCTCTTCACTATCCTCACATTGTTTTTTAAAACAAATCCGCGTGATGGCCAAAGACGTTCATATTACTGGTAAAACCCTATAAAACCAACAAACTCCAATCTGCTTTGTGTCCGTAAGGGATGAAGGACAAGGTCACCATCAGAATAAGAAAAAATAACACACAGCATTATCATGTGATTATAAGCCAGAGATCATACATGTATGTCTCAACAGTATCCTGTTAATCACACCTCTCACATTCTGGGCCACAAAATCCAAAGTCCGGCACATTTATACAGATTTATCGCATGATTTGTCTCCAAAACGTTCGTTTCTTGTCATCCAAAAAGTAATCTTGTTCATTCAAAAAGACAATGCCCCAAAATATGCTTCAAAGGGAACACTCATTGAACTGCGGTGGTAGCTAAAGTAAGTCTCGATGTCATTCCAGATATTCAAAACTGGCTTCATATTGCCATGCTGAAATGTTTCGTTGTTGTGTGGACTAGTAAGGGATTGTCAGACAAAAATTTGAATTTTTTTTTACATGTACTTGGTACATGTAGAGGCAAATGTTAGGTCGCATTTATTAATAGGTTGCAGTGGTGCATGTTTTATATAGCTTGAGCCCTGAAGTAGCATCAATAGCTTGGTGCATTAGTGGAGGCTTGACCAAGAGACATCAATCTTTCTGTATCTGTACATAGCAAATGGATATACATGTAGCTCAAATTGATCATGTCTGTCTCAGACCTATGTTAAAAGTAACTTCAAACACAACTAAAATAAAATGCATACCCAAACTGAAGTGTGAGATGTGCTGATCTGGTTAAATAAAGTGTAAATCTTTCAGAAGTCTTGTGACTTATCAAGACGCAAAACTTGGAAGTTGATCTGGAATAGGTATTCCTTATTCTTTTTTTATGTACCGTATTCGACGTAATAAGCGCCCACAGCAATGTTTGCTAATATATTGGCAAGTGAACAATCCCAGTTAGCACCCCTTCCGATTGATCAATGTTCACAAGACTTATTTATTCGTGTATAATACGCACTCGTGTGTTACATGCACCCTTAATTATGAGCACTGACCTCGTGAGCAGCCTAGCACATCTGTCAGTGTTTCATCCTACACAGTCCATTTAAGATATTTCATATGATATTCATGTTTCATTTTTGATGAGTCTACACACTTAGATAAACATATGTCATGAAATGAAAAATTTCATTGTGAAAATATCCGAAAACATGAAAAACAATTTCCACTTTTGCGTATTTAACCATGTGGGCACTGTTGCAGAACCTTCTCTCGCGTAATAAGGCGAGGAGAGACAAGCTCTTGGGTTATCACCTATTGTTGGCAAACAATGCTTCAGAATGGTTGATGTACTGGCCCTTTAGGAAAGATATTTGTTTACAGATTTTACAAATATTTTATTCCTTGTAAGGCTACTTGTTGTAGCCATACAGAGATTCAGTAGTGACATAAGTTGGGTAAGACTTCCGCCAATATCCCCCCTCATAAATACATGTAATTTAAAGGATTTAGCGGCAATGCATACATAATATAACTTTTGGAGGGGGGGATACGGGCCGTAGCCTTTCCTGAAGTTGCTAGCAATGATACAGAAAAATGGATATTAACATGATTAAACGATGAACAAATGAGCATGATGATGGGATAGAGCTGATACCAAACAATCACACTAAATCATCCGTGTCAAAATGACATGTAACAATATTTCTGAACTTAATCATAAATTTGGTGTTTCAGACAAGAATTCAGAGGTGTCGTGGGACCATTCTCAGTTCCTAATCAAATCTTCCGGCATCCGAATCATACTGTTGTTATTGTAATCATATAACAGTGTCTTAGTAGTGTATAGAGATTCCTTCAATGTTCTTACCGTTCTGGTGCGTCAGAAACAGGTAATTAGGGAAATTTTACTGTCTCGAACTGAGTCAAAACATGGGATATAGATTCGTTGAATAATTAGTTACAAATCATCGAAAGAGACCATACCTTTTCAAATACCGTGCGTCTTCAGCTTGCATTGTAACTGTTCACACGTAAGTTCTGTACTCGCGATTCTAAACGCCAGAGGGTATCAAAACATTAAAACTGTAACATGAATATCGTCACTTGACATGTTTGGAGGCCATGTCAAAATATGTGTTACTCTCTAACCCCTGATACAATATTTGACACTTCAAATATTCACTGACAGGAATAAACTACTGACAAATATTTGATTACACCATTTCTATGTTGTGGTTCATAAACAATGAAGTGATGCAACGATAAGTCGAACTATTGCTTCAACATCAGTTCATGGCAGGGGATTAGAGGGTATTGAGAATCCAAAATGGCTGACACAACAACGCACGTGTACGGAAAGTCAACAAAAACAGAAGCTAAATTTTACAGTGATGCAAAGGAATACTGGGATGGTTTACAACCGACAATTGATGCAATGCTCGGTGGTTATGCTAAAATATCACCAACCGATATTGATGGATCGAGGGCATTTCTTCGACCATTTATGAAGGTGATGACTGTTGATATATTTGAATTAGGATTTAGTAGCGTAGTGGTGACATCTACATCACGGTAGTCGTTATCAGGTTATGTATGCGTACGATCTATAAGAACTTGTGTTACATGTACATGTGTGATCCAAACGTCTTGTGTATGCATTGTAAATAACTAGAACATGAACGGAAACAATGCAGTTTACCGGGCGCAGCTCACTGAAGCTCTGGGTAACTGGCCCTCGCTTAACAGATCTCGAGTGCCTCTTCGATCATTAGGGTTAGGGTGGGTTACCCCCAACTCAATCCTTAGCCTTTGGATCCACCTTCTGATCAAGCATCCCTTAATATGATCATTAGAGTGAGGAACCCCTTTCCGGTCAAACACTAGCCGCGTATGGCTGCAATATATTGCTGATGCGGCTTTAGCAATATTTACTTGCCATGCTGCCACCCATCAAACACCCCTCGTGATTCTTAGTTTTAGGCACCCTTTTACGATCCTTAGCATCAGTTGTGAGGTGGGTATGGGTTAGCTATCTCTTTAGTGATATAATCCAACCTAATTTGTGGAAACTCTGTACAATTTTTTTAACAAGTTTCACGGAGAAAATGGCTACTGCACATGCATATGAAGGTAAACGATCGGGTGCTGATAACTTGATAAACTAGCACTCATTATTTGTGATAGCACCCGTGGTAAAGATTTTGGCTAATTAGATTAACTCATTAGCCTAGCCATGCTTCAAGCTGGCAACGCAAGTTCAATCCACCATCGCGAGTTCAATCCACCATGGAGGCTAACTGAACTCTGAAAAAGCTGTACCAGGTAAAGTGCACTAGTCCCACATGAACATATATTTTCACTGTATTATCAACATGAACAACGTATTAAGTTTTCCCAGATACCCTCTCATTACATTTAAGTGAGTAAGATAAATGGTAGCTGCTATAGATTAAGTTCACCCCTGTTTTTATTCAAGGATTCAAGTCTAAGGATAGAATTGGCTAACCTAACCTACCCTCAACAAGGCAGTGAATGTCTGTTAAATGTGTGAAACAACATATAAATTGACACTAAAATGTACTGATAATGATGACTAATTCCAGCTTGAGGAAAACTAAGGGTCCTGTAAAGTAATAAAACGGTGTAATGTTCTGTAAGATTTGATAATTACTTTAATTACAGGAGCTTTATATTTCTTGTCAAGAATTTGCTACAATAGATATTATTGTGCATCCCATGGGAAGCAATATATCCTTTTTTCTGCGTCCATTCTATACATATGTGTGTACTGGACAGACATTTATGCGTCACATAAAACCCTGAGTACTATTCTATATCCAAGTTCCAACTCACTTCTAGTGATGTCATCTGTATGGTATCAAACAATCATTACAGATTTCTGGCGGTGAGACAAACAGCAACCGGGCACTAGACTGTGGGGCTGGCATCGGGCGCATCACAAAGAGGTTGCTGCTTCCAATGTTTACAACTGTTGACTTGGTGGAACTGAGCCAGAAGTTTGTGGATGCAGCTCCCAAGTTTATAGGAGAGGAATCCAAACGAGTAGGGAAGTTCACCTGCAGTGGGCTTCAAGACTTCACCCCGGATGTCGGCCACTATGATGTCATCTGGTGCCAGTGGGTTCTGGGTCATCTCCGGAACGATGACCTCGTCAACTTCTTCAGAAGATGCAAGAAAGGGTTATCAGAAAAAGGAATAGTGGTTGTGAAAGAAAATGTGACATCGACAAATAATTCCGACTTTGATGAACTGGACAGCAGTTTCACAAGGCCGTTAGATGTTTTAGTGCAGCTTATACAGAACTCTGGACTTGTAATTCTCAAACAACAAAAGCAGAAAGGATTTCCTAAGGGATTGTATGATGTATATATGTTTGCATTGAAGTGATAAAACTGTTAAAGGTCTAATCTATTATAAATCAATTGTTGTTCTGGAGATTGGCGCTGTGCATCATATGTGACAATGTGTACAGTAATAGTTTGTCTGTTTGTTGTCTGCCAACTTTAACTATGTGATCAGGGGCACAGCAGTTCCCTGTAAAGATGTGTGGGCCTTAGCCTTAGGGACACCACAGCTGTAAACATCCATGACTTGTATCTTTTTGGGCTTTCATCACACACTGGGTAGCAACTGAACCTTTTTTAAACGAAATTAAACTCATGTTTTGAAAGTATTATCAAACAATACCAAGTTCTTTATATAAGACTAACAGTCCACCGAGTTCAAGTTTCCATTGAAGGTCTTACAGTGTATATTGCATTCAGAATGGTTCAGAGTAATATAAAATTTTAAAATGGCCAATTTCGTGCCTGTGCTGAATGACAGTTTAAGGCAGCTAGTTTGAAACATTTTGGCCTTGTAAAGCTTGTGAAGGATGGGATAGTCGATGGAAACACTGCAGTCTGTAACATCTGCAATGCTCAAGTCCAATGCTCAAGTCTAATGTTCGACCCATTTAACAACACATACAGTGACATCATCCACTTCACATATCGTTTGTTACAAAGTAGAAGTTGCAATATATTGCAATAGGGAATTTCTGACGATACCCATCCCAAGTGTCTATACCAAGCAGAAGCTTTGTTAGCACTGTATTGCCTCTATTGAGAGATGCGTATAGGGATACAGTTATATATTAAGGGCAGATGAGCTTCAGCTAATGATTTCTCCCGATTGCATATGGAACCCGTCAGGTTAACGAAACTAAGCCCTCCTTCTCGTCACATCCGATGTCTGTGAGCACAAATGAGTACATAGGCATACATTAAGTATTTACACGAAGCAAAATATTGCATCCTGTACACATGCTTGTAGATAATGGATATAAATTAATTTTCCATGTGAGTCATGTCAGTTGCAATAATAAGTATGGCTGTTTGACAAGTTTAATAATCAAAGTTTTCAAAACTGTTGATTACACTTTACATTAACAAACATTTCTATTGAAAGAAATATACTCAAAGTTCAGTGTGTCGACAAGGTCAATTGGCAGTTTTCTTCAATCAAACATTTATAGTTGGCTTAAGATGTGAGTATTTGCAGTGACATGGCATGAAGAAAGAACCGGTGCCAAGAATGAAGTTCCCGAGGGTCTTTGTAGGGGAAACATTAAGCTACACCTGGCTTGTGCCAGTCTGAAGCATCTTTGGAATATATAAACTATATGCAATCTGCTAATGAAGCCATTTTTGCTGTTACCATGGTTACCGTACTAGACAATGAAATTGCTTGTGTTCGCAGTTTATTGTATTCAATGATAAAATTAGACAATCAAGTTGGATTCAAAATATTGCTGACATGATGTATTAATATCAGCTGTGCCCTCATATGGACAATGTAGTTATATTGGCTGAACACTGATATGATACAATCTTTTTATATCGTCTGTGTCCTGATATGGTACAATGTATTTATATCGGCTGTACACTGATATGGTACAATGTATCTACATCTCAGCTGTACCTAGATATGGTACAATGTACCTATGTATCGGCTGTGCCCTGATATGGTACAATGTAGTTATAGTGTGGAGTCAAATTTAGGTCGTGATTTCAAGGGTGGAGTTTGGGGTCAGCCTCTATCTGGTGTAGGCCCGCACCCAGTAATATACAGTATACAGTAAACGTCCTGCTTCATCTACAGACAACCAAACTTTACTTTGGTGAATCCCCTGTAATCACGTGTGTCAATTTTGTATTAACTGGAAGTCTCTTGTTGATGTTGTTGTGACATGTATACTTGATACCATATAACTCATGTCAAGAGTTCTGTTTGAAGTATAATATGTAAATTTTGTTCTCTGTAAGAACAATATTTCTTTCAAGAAAAGTTTACTGTAACAAAATTAGGAGTTTAACATGTTTATTAGTGTATTACCATTGGTACACCATTACAAACCTCTGTATGAACATCTCTATATAAACATCTCCATGTAAGCATCTTTTTATGAAAATCTGTATATAAACATCTCTATATTAACATCTGTATATTAATTAACAAAGGCATCTGTACTTATGCAAACAATGTCATGTTGTGTGATGTTGTTGACTTTGTGATTACAGAGTTTGTTGTTAATGAGTTCACCCAGCAAGCTCAGGTACAATTGTATTGAGAAAGAAGGTCAGTGTTTGCAATTAAGCATGTAAGTTGAGGGTCCTTGTTGACCTAATGTTAGAAGGGGAAGATGTAGGGGGTTCCTATTTTCAAATACATGTAGAGCGAACCTAAAAAATAACCTTAATTTCAAACACTGTAAATGTGTATAAATTTGTGTGAATTGTTAATACACAATGTATAACATAAATTACTATATTAATATGTGGTAGTTGTATTTTGGGAAATCATTTCCAAGACATTTACAATCAAAAGATGAATTATTGTGGACACAGATTTGCATCTCTTATATATCTCGTGTAACTTGCTTCTTTTATACATATTGTGTTTGTGTAAACAACAGAGTAAGTGAATGATGTTTATAGCCCCGTCAGCATTGTCTCTGCTATTCACGGCTGTGTAACCTACACTGGAGTGGTGTAGCCAAGTGATTTAAGCTGGAAGACCTGGCTTCGATGTCGCACATGTGTACAATGTCGGACACGTGTTGTGGGTGTCGCCACCCTTCCAACCCACTGTAACCAGTATTATTGACAGTGATGTTGTCCTGTTACCATTCATCAGTTGAGTACATCTGTACTAAGATTAAGCCATATGAGGGACCAGCCATGTTATGTTCGATGGAGTTGCTGGTTTTGTATCAACCTTTTCCCGATCACTGCTTCAGGACACTCCCCCACCCCCACCCCCACCCCCACCCCCACCCCCACCCTCTCCCAACCTCTGCCCCCAGAATGTTAAATGTTCTACTTTGTGGTAGAAAAAAGGAATACGGAATTCAGATGAAGACCCCACCTTTGTCATGTTTGTTGTTTGTGTCTTGTTTCTCCGGAGACCTGTTTACTGTAGTTTTGAGAGGTCGTGATATGTTGGAACACTATGATCATGGTCACTCAGGAATAACTGCCAGTCCGGTTCACAACTCCATCAGTATTGTGTTGATGAATAAACAAATCCCAAGCATAGTAGAAGGAGAGTGAAAATGAAAGCTCCATAATTTGCCGCTGAAAAGGAATTGATTACTTGCTTGATAAGGGTGTCAGTATCTACACAGAAACATCGCATGATTATATATATCCGTAGAATTGTCTCCCTTGTTAAACTGATGGTCGGGTGCCAACTGATCTCATGACATGGATGAGTTGGATAATAATGTCATAGTGATCGATGATGAATTGAATTTGGTTCTTCACCACCCTGTAGAATCAGGGGGAACACAGACATGATGAAGGTGACATGATGAAGGTGACATGATGATGATGATGGTTTTGATACATTTAAAAATCAGTTAACATTTATTGGTGGAACAAACCCAAGCAAAATGGAACTTTCTCCATCTATGTCATCAGAATGATCCAATCCAGCAGACAAAGAAAAGGGTTCTGTATTGAGTGATACTTTCTCAAATACCCAAAAGTCATGAGACATGATACAGGAAAATATGTACGCTTAAATGAAAGCTATTTCAGTCATTATTGAATATTGTTGTCTAGACTTCTACAAGTCATCTGCTGGCAGGACAAACAGGTGGTGATAATGTTGATGCAGCCTGATTAATGTGGTGAGGTTTACGATGAAGTGTTTAGATATATAACTATATTAAGTTTGTACCTATGATATATAAATATATTTACAATTTCTACCTGCCTCTACTCACTTACTGCCTCAGCAAATCACAGACACTTCTACTTCTACAAATATTAAATTGAAATTGATTTTCTCAATGATATGACATTGTGTATATTCACATTGAAATGAATTAAACTATATGTATAAACGCTTTGGTGTTTTTTATGCAGGGAGATTAAAGTTGCTTCTACAAAAATATAAATCAAATGTGTGAAAACCTGAGTAAGCTATTCAAAACGATTTGATCCCTGACATTTCCAAGAGGAGTTCACGGGTGGCCCTGTCATCTAGGCGCCACAATTCGCTGTGCAGAGTTACATCCCTTGTGTACACAAGAAACTGATGATGGTTTGTTCGAATCCCGGTTCCTAGATTGTTTCTAGGTTTGTGAGCACCACACCTGTGCTCCTTCTTTCCGAGACCTGCATCACTTTGGGCTTTGAAGCTGATGTGCCATGATATAACTGGAATACTGTTCAATGCCGTGTTATACCAAACTCTATTGTCCAAGACAATGCTTTACCTCTTTAGACAGTACAACATTGTGTTTGACCACTGCTCTTTGATTGTTTGTGTATAATGCCACACTCGGCAATATTCCAGCTTTATGACATCCGGCTGTATATAATCCAAGTTTGAGCCAGACATATCCATTGACATTATGAGCATCAATCTATGCAATTTGGATACAATGACATGTATCAACCAAGTCGACATGCCTATGAAAGTTCACGTTGCGCAGCATGATTGTTTATTGTATGGGATGGTATCACAATGACTGGCCGGACTGCAATCAATATTGTCCATGGCAGAGTCGCACGTCAGGACTACCTGGACAACGTCATTGCACCACTCGTGCCATTCACACAATGTGTTGGGCAACGTTCTGTCTTTCAAGATTATAATGCCCATGCTCAACATGCCAGGGGGCCACGGGTGGCCACAGGTGGCCCAGTCGTCTAAGGCGCCGCAATTCGCTGTGTTTGTAATGTCTCAGTAGGGTATTCTTGTTTAACTGCCGCATGGTGCCTCAGTGAGGTAGGGCGGTCGGGTAGCCTAGTGGTTAAAGTGTTCGCTCATCACGCCGAAGACCTTGGTTCGATTCCCGACATGGGTACAATGTGTGAAGCCCATTTCTTGTGTCCCCCACCGTGATATTGCTGGAATATTGCTAAAAGCGGCGTAAAACCATACTCGCTCACTCAGTGAGGTAGCATTATTAATCAGCATCAGTCCGTACTAGTACAAGCACACACACACACACACACGTGCATGCACGTCGCTATATAAGTGCAATATTCTTGGACGCAACGGTAAACCCAATTTCACCTCACCTCCAAAATTATCATCGCCAAAGACCATCCGCTTCAGGCGGCTAGAGAATAAGGTCTTAGGTTATGTAGGACAGGTGCTGACAATAGAGCATCCTTTGAAGCTCCTCTACATCGAATGTCTGTCTTGTTTACAGGCCACTTTAAGAATATTGCTCTCTCTCACTCACTCACTCACTCACTCACTCACTCCTCTCTCTCTCTCTCTCTCTCAACTTCGGAGAGGTTTATTTGATTCCAGACTTTTTTTAACAGTATTTCAGTTAGGGCCAATTACAAAAACGTTTTTTCTTTTCTCATGACTTTTTCAAAACTGACTGGGTAGAGAGGGGTGATGTTCATTTTTATTTTGTCAAAAGGTTACAGAATCTGAATGTCATGTTGATTCTAATGTACCATTTGACCCATTTTGACCACATCCTATGCAAAGGTAAGCCAATTGTTCATCTGATACAAGTCAAAAGAGGGACGGACTTGCATCGGATATAGTTTTTGTCACTCATGCGTCAATTTCCTCAATATGTCTTCATATAATTGTTTGAAAGCTTTACTAAGGCCTTGAATGTTGTAACCCTGATCAAACAACTTTTAAGAAAGAATTGTATAACGCTGTTTGAAATCTTCGTAAAATGAGCATGTTCGATTGTACCTGAAAAGTTGTGAAATGTAGACACCAAAGGCTGGAGCTGCTGGAATAGAGCCCGACATTAAAACTATAAAGCTGACTATGGAAAAATTGAAGTCATCAGTCTTGTCGTACAAACTTGTGGATGCTTTACTGTCACTCTGCATATGAAGTTATGTTGGCACGGGAACGACACCCCAAGACATCATCAATAATCCAATGTCCAATGTCTCCATTCAGTTATTGTAAATAGCAAAGTAAAAGGCGACTATGCTTGTCGTAAGAGGCGACTAACGGGACTGGGTGGTCAGGCTCGCTGACTTCGTTGATGCATGTCATCGTATCCCAACTACGTGGATCGATGCTCATGATGTCAATCACTGGACTCGATTATTTACAGACCGCCATCATACAGCTGGAATATTGCTGAGTGCAGCGGTAAACAACAAACAACAAACAAATAAGGAAAATTCAAACACCCATTTTTCTTTTCACCACCTCCATCTCTACTTATTACCAACTCTCGGCTACACTTCCTTATTTTGACTTGTACCATACGTCCTATCTTTTTTTAGGTGAATTCTTGACTTGCTGTTGCATGTGTTTATGATGGATGCCATCGGTGGGACAGGATACGCTCACCTTTTCGCGAACACCTGTTATCATCCCCCTATTTGATGGTGATTCACAAACATGCTCATGATGCAGTGCGAATCGTACAATCTCTCCGAGGCAATTTTAAGGGAGTTCAAGGACTGTAAAAGTGGAAACTGAACTCTCATAGTCCTTTAACTCCCTTGCCTCGGTAAGATGCGTACAATGGACTCTAATTTCTTAAGATTATAGAAAGGGTTTTGACGTTATTATACACCCTATATTTGACGTCCCGGGACCTGCAGGAACCGAGTAACGTGGAGACAGAGTGCATTGTGGGACTGAATGCCTGTCAAACTGCCATCAATGACTACTAAGTGCAATGGGTCCTGTCGTGTATGCTTCACGAGCGAACGCTTTAACCACAAGGCTACCCGACCCTCGCGAATAATCTGTGAAGAGGACAGCAGCACAATCGCGATCCTAAATCAGACCACAGGAGTCCGTATCTAAAAATAGACGCCCTCATGCATATTCATGACCATCTCCACACGCGAGCCCGAAGGTTATAGTCTTCGTCATACTACACCCGTGAAGGTCCGGGTTATAGAATGGACCTTCAGTAACCCATGCTTATTGGCGACTGACGACGGGGATCGGTTGGTCAGTCTCGCCGACTCGGATGACACGTGCCATCGGTTCCTAGTTGCACAGATCGCTGCTCATGCTGTTGATCACTGGATTGTCTGGTCCAAGCTCGTTTATTGACAGACCACCGTCCTAGAGCTGGAATATTGCCGAGTGTGGCGTAAAACTAAATTCACTCACTCACTGATACCAATACATCTAAAAAAGTAATGTCATCATTTAAATGGTGAGTTTAAACGCGTATTTTACCCTTACAAGGACGAGTGCATTCCACACACCCTTCCTGTTATAAAATGTGTCACTGTTTACAGTTCGGGCGAACATAACCCTATAGACATG